ATAGTTACCTATAATACGTCACTGCGTTTATTTCGTAATAGCCATGATAAATTGAACAACAACCGCTACCTGTCAGCTATATAGTTATTAAAAAAAAAAATAATAATAATAAATTCGTCCTCCGAACCGCGGTGGTTGGTCTCTGAACTATAATATTAATATAAAGGTACATGTCATATTATACATAGGGTCACGTAATAAACGCATAAATGAATATTAGCAAATATATAGTAACAAACTATTTAGACAAAAAAACACACGAATGGAGTAAATAAAAGAAATAATTTTTTTTCTTGACCTATTGCAATTTTGGCCGCTCACAGAACAGTCAGCATAATATATTATTTTAGGACGCCTTTGTGTCGCGTCCTTAATACCCACGTGGCCCCATTTTGTACGTGATCTCCGTGCTCCAAAGAAATGTTATATTACTCCTTATTATTCGTAGGTATTTTACTCGCGTTTCCTAACCCTGCCATCATACAGGATGGACCATATTTTATAAACGTAAATGGCCAAATCGATTTTAATGTACTGCAATTCTAGATGCCTATGAACCAGCTAAATGTTGAGTCTTTTATGAAAATATCATTTTTCTTTATAGGTACCTAAGTACCTTACTCACTCTTTTAAGACCCACTATTTTATATACCTTGGTACTTGTCGCCACCACAATGGATACAACGGTACTCAATTTGTTTACAATTCTACTGCAAATCTTTTAGTTGACTGTCAAATAGCACCGAGTAACAGAGACGTACCAAGAAGTAAGTTTTTGAAGTAGGTACCTACCTACTTTGATTCAAAAGGCATATCCACTTATGGCGGAATCAGCTAAAAAAAGGTTTTCATCTGTACTTGACAACTGAAGTTCATAAAATCAAATGAGGACAATAAGAAAAATGGTGACCATGTATGTGGTTATGTATCCACACGTTCGATTTGCTATCGCTCTCGATAGAGTCTAATCCTTATTTAATATACATATAAAGCACTCGCAATGCTCTCGTCGTAACAGTGATGGTATACCTACTGATATAATATTATTTAATCAGCCGTTTGGTGGTATAAACTATATATGTATGGTATGTGTGTTTGTACTTGATAAATGATAATATTATATAAATTCAATTTTCGTCTCAGCTCGAGATCCACTTTAACATTTTTATTTTTTCGTATTCCACGAACGCTTGGCGATTTCTTTGTTCACTGTACCGTACAGAAATTCGCAAACCAACCACTTTCCATTCCGTTATAAACGATAAGGCCAGTTCATCCCTTCTAAGACCCCGAAAAAAAGTTATAGCGTATTTGTAGAATGTTTAATGCTCAAATATAAAATATAAAACATAAACTAAATAAATTCTAGTTGCTGTATGTATATAATATAAACGATGGCCGTGGTTAGTCGTCCATTTTATCTATAATTGTTTCGACGTGTTGTACCTTCTTATATAATTCAGAAACCAAATTTTTTATTGTACTTATGTCAAACGTTAAAATCGTATGCGTTTTGCATTCCATGTAAAAAAATTATAAACCTAAATCAGAACACGGACCTTTAATTTGAGAGTTGAGAAAAATTCCGACAATATTAGGATAGGTACATGAAGCTATAGAGTATGATATAAATAAAAATCAAGCTTAAAATATACTGTTTAATTATCGGTCATTGGACTCTGGGGCGGAAAGAAATTTCGAGTTGACATAGTCTATACTGTTCATGTGGAATTACCAACAGGACTGATTTTGTGCATATGTTGGCACACCAAATTTGTTACATCCTTTATTCCTTTCCAATCTAAACCCTCGCCCCTTTTGAATAACTTTTGAACAGTTTGAACAGTTTAATATGTTAATTTAGGCACAAGTTTTCATATAATGCAATTTCATGGGAGAGTAGGAACAATAGTTACATAATTGTAGACTAATGATACATAACATATCTGCAGAACATAATGCTAATAATACTAAATAAAAACGTACCTAAATATAAAAAAATATACAATGACACTCGTATTATATATAATTTATATGATTGCATATTTTTATATTTAAAATTTAAATTACAAAAACAATATTATTATTATAAATAAAACATTTAAAACAAAAAGTATAAACGTGTAACTAATCACTATATTATTTAAAATCAAGCTGACCGCTGACGTCATGAGCTAACTGATACTCGTTCTACTACTGTGGGTCAAACGTTTCATGCAAATTTTTAACAATTTTCTTTGATAGTCGAGTACGGTATAAACGTGTAAGGTATTAATACACGTGGATACCGTTGGGCGTTGATGAACTAAGCCTTAGTTACTAAAGGGTACCTGATACTTCATGTCAATTTGTATATGTCATAATAAAATAATGATCTATACCTACTCTATAATAATATATATTTTACTTCACAACAGACGACTAACGATCTACACATTCAATTATTTAACAAGAAATAGTGAACAAAATAATTTTTATCATACCATTTATTAAGATTTCAAGATAAATCGAATAAAGTTATTCTCGATAAGAGAATCGGTAAAAATATTTTAACTCGTTACCGAAATTGTATGTAAACATTTATTAATAATTATGACATTTCGCGGCACACCTATGGGAGGCCACGCGGGCACACTGGTTGGGAAACGCTGAGCTATAATAGCAATACGTCTTTACCGAAGTAATAGTAGGTAATAGTAGGTTGAACATTCAAATGTAGACCTCAAATTACATTACTACAAGGTTATTACTTATTAGTAGTTATTATGTAAAAAGTACGAATAAGCATAAAAAAAAATTATAAATTATAATAATGAACCATGCACATTGCACACATCACTAATAATATCATACATCGTATTATAATCATGTTGAAACATGTAATAAACCTTTGATGCATCAACTATTCTGGAAGTGACCAAGTGTAAGTTTGTAAATTGTGATGCTATTGTTCAGGAACCAATGGACCAATGAATCAATTTGAATTAATAACAATTATTTTGATAACACAAATATAGTATATGTATTATACTTTATTAGAAGGCTTAACTGCAGTGACGTTCTCTGGAATTTTCAATGTGGGGAGAGTTGTGGATAATATTTCTAAAAACATGTGTAGGGGGGCTTTCATCATACAAAAAAACGGTTGCGTAAAAAACGGCCAATGGCGGTTTAAACCCCATGACCCCCCTCCCCCTCTCGTGAGTAAGCTCATTGAGCTTAGCAATAGATGATATTAATATATTGATACATTTATATTTTATATACTATAGTATGAAGGTATAAGTACTGAATTATAGTTGTGTACTGTTTATATTAAAAATCCATAATAGTTTTATAAACAACAACCTACAATATTTGATTTATGCACAATCATTATGCGTACGTGTTTATAATTACACAAAAACTAAAACAAATTATTTAAAATTAAAAACCTAGGCATAAAGCTTTATATCTAATATTTATAAAATATGTAAAAAAAAATATATTAGTAATATGTATAACAGAATTAATATAGTAAGCATTTTTTCAAGCTTTATAAATTACTATTATGACATATCGAACTAGCTCTTCCCAGCCGGCGTTGTTCGTGCCAAAATTATTATTATTATCAGACTGTAACCGCAATCTGTGACAAATAGCAGCCCTATAAAATTTAATTTAAAAAAAATATATTATTTTTTCGTGAGCTCGACATTTTTTTATGTGTAAACTACCCTTTAGTTATCTATAAGTGTTGAAAAATAAGCTATAAACACCCTTCAGGTCCCAAGAAATCGTTTGATTTAATGCTTATTGAGAACGGTTCAGTAGTTGTTAAGTCTCTTTATTACAGACATACCAACATCTACTTTAATGTATATGCGAGATGAATATGAATATGGTGATCAATATTATATAGGTAACTGCCAACTGATATACATATCACAAAATGTGGTAGGTACCTACTACGAAAATGGTACTAATAACAGGTGTAATATATCAAGTATGTCGTGTTTGATGCCGTGTTAGAAACTTAGAAGTACGCAAAATATATAGGTAATATAATACATAGGTACCAACTACCAACTAATATTACGTAATACTATATCAGCTGCGTCCGTTATTGTAGCCGTGTTGTAAAATTAAAATGTTACAACTATAATGACGCGTGATCAATGATCTCACTCAGCGTATAACAGCTACCTGTAAACAGTTTCACGCCGGTTATGTAATATTCAAAATTAGATGCCATTGCATCAATACACACACATTCGCTGGCACATCAAATTAATGACGCACCAAGCACTTAAACCTATTTGGGGGGGGGGGGAATTTACACTTGACGATCATTTATTGTCTAGTCACCGGCTACATGACACTCACATGAGAGGGGGTAGTCAGACACGATTCCTATAGGCTATAGACTATAGCTCATTTCAAATAGTCCGATTACTGGATTGAGTTCACACGGGATAGGGCAGTGCTCGGCAGAGTTCAGTCTCTCGGCCGATAACTCGTCACGTGTAAACTAGGCATATATTATATTAAAATATATAGGTACCAATATCATGTACCAACAACCAATGCCGGTCAGAACTCGGTGAGTTTGAGGCTACTGGCTACGAGTTGTATCGACCTATACGTTATAGCTATCGTCGTCGTCCGTTGCGTTCGTCTAAATTTGTGTTACGATAATTGAGAACACGAAACAAACAGTCGCGTCAAGCTTTTGCACCAACCTAATAACAATAATTAATATTATACATCAACGACATCGCGGTGCCGTGGCGGACTTCATAATATTATTCTTCAGAGGCAAGTCTTATATATTCCACCCACTCCGCAAACACCGGTAAAGGCATCGCTACCGTCATAATATTCCTAATAACCAGAGTTTACACTAAAGTACTACTTATTAATACTAATTAATAATCAACCAACCACCCACCCACCCACACCGACTGACCCTATCAAGACATATTCACATATTACTTCCGGGGTCACGCCACTGCGACGAGATGCGGTGGTCACCACCGTCGCCGAGACTATCGGCGGTCGTCGTGCTAGCGGCGGCGTTGACGTGCGCCACTGACGCCGCGAGGATATTGGCTGTGGAGACGATGGCCGGCGTAAGTCACTGGAACTTCATGAGTGGCGTGCTGCGGGCGCTTGTCGACAAAGGTCACGAGGTCACAGCATTTACGCCGTTTCCGTCGGCGGACGGCCACCGACCGCGGGCCAACTACACTGAGGTGGACCTGTCCCGGGAATTATTGGCCGCCCGGGACGGCCAGGTGGCGGACGTCGTGCAGATGTGGCGCACGCCCGTCGGCAACGTGTTTCAGTGGGTGCGACGGAGCCGGGACACTTGTGACAAGATCTACGGCCACCCGGCGATGAGCGACTCGCTGAGGCAGCACCGGGACGGCCGCCGGCCGTTTGACGTCGTCATCGTCGAGCCGTTCCTGTCGGATTGCGTGTCTTACGTGGCCGTCCAGCTGGGCGTGCCGCTCGTCTACGTCACGGCGTTGCCGGCCATCGGGTTGATGGAACGCGCGCACACCGGCCACGCGTCTAACCCTGCGGTCGAGTCGCATCTGGTGGCCGGTCACGGGGTTCCCAAGACGTTCGCGCAGAGGCTGAGCAACTCGGCGCTGTACGCGTACTGTATCGTTGGCGTAGAATACGTGTACAGGGTGCTCAAGTACACCGAGCCCAGAGAGTACGATACGGTACCACCCGTCATGCCGTCGCTGATGTTCGTCAACGGCCATTACGTCAGCGAACCGCCCAACCCCGTCCTGCCGTCCGTCATCCAAGTCGGCGGAATACACCTGAGACCACCCAAGACATTGCCAGAGGTATGTATACGTCAGTGGTGATGATGTTATAGTGACGTGCTCAATTTTTTTTAAAGAGGGTTAGGCATTTTTATTATTTTTAGACTACGTTATAACAAATAAAAAAGTATTCTTGCATTCACCTGCAGGTGCTAAAGTTTTAACGAATACTTTAAAATATCTATTTAATAATACCGGAAGACAGCTAATTCTTTGGTGAACCATTATTTAATGTCCCCCCCTCTTCTATATCAGTGCTGCCAGAAATTATTGTAATAAATATACGGTAGACAATTTTATGTACCTATCTTTTATTAGGGAGATTGTTAAGAAAATAGGAATCCTAAGAAATAATAATTACTTAATTTTCATAACTTTAAATAATTATTATTTTCATCAATAAATTGAAAAATTAACTGGCCTACATTCAAGTATAAGTACTACGCTCTATACTAGCTAGTTGTGAAACTTTTTAAAAACACAGGTTCTAGGGCCGCAGATTCTTGACACTGTATGTATTTATAATTAATTATAACAAATAATAATAAATAGAAATGAAACTCGATCAATTAATCGGGTTTTGGTTTATCTGTGATCTACAAGATCGTTTGCCCAAACCAGTGTGAAAAAAAACGATAGACTACCAAAAGATCAGAGGTAAAAAAGTCCCAGGAAAAAAGTCCGAGTAAAAAGTCCATATAATTAAAAAGTCTGAGCCATAAAAAGTCAAAGGTAGAAAAAGTCCGGTACATATAATTAGGTAAGAGGAAAAATACGATGTGATGCACAATCAAACGTTCCAATTAGTATATGTTGTAACGAACTGTAATTTTTTTTAAATATATTATTTTAATGTGACGATGGTTAATATACTTAATTAAACTGATAAATCGATATAGGTAGGTGGTAATATATTATGTATATTTTTTGTAAGAATAATAATTTTGATTTGTTTATATAGGTTAAATAATAATAAATACATCGGACTTTCCTACCACGGACTTTTTAGGTATAGGACTTTTTACGTTCGCCCCCCTTGGGCTGTCTTTTTAACGTTATTTTTTATTATAATATTTGGCTAAACAAGAAGGGAATTTAGTTTTTGAAAATCACCCCCCCCCCCCTCCATGGGAGGATCTGTTATTGTTTATAGTCCTGTCTATCTTAGTCGATGGTAGCCGGTAGGTAGGTAATACCTATACTAGGTATATGTTACTATTATTATCAACAAACAGATATCACGTAGCCAATCAACGTCGTCGGGTACGTCTTAATTTCTGAGAAAATATAAAAAATAAAAACTAAATAATATATCATTAGATACTTGAGACAGTACTTAATCGCACACAATACATTTCAACACGTTAATTCATCACCAGCCAAAGTTATCAACCACTAAAATGAACATTTTGTATGTCGACATCGGTGACTTGGGCACCGTCGTATACCGTCGTATAGTCGATTGCGTGTCAAGAATAGCGTTGAATACAGTTGGGAAAGAACACGTTCACGTCATACCTATTTCGTGAGCTACGCGTGAGAACATCATTCTCGACTTCTCGTAAATCAAATAAAACAAAATTTTAATTTTTAAATAACTTTGACGGTTTTTAAGTATTTTAAATAAAATGAAACAATATTTTCAAAAGAGTAAAAACTTTTTTAAAAAAAATGACTGTAAACACTTAAATGCATCATCTGGTATAATATGTAATATTATGTAATTTATGTACATTGTATACCTATTATAATTTAATTACGTGTCCACGCCGATTTTTGCAAAGAATTGACACTCAACTAAACACAAAACGTTTTAAACGTTTGTTTCCGTGTTTCGTATAAACTTGAGATAGCCAATACGGAGAACTTTATTTTGAATTTTAATGTCTTAAAACGGTTAAAAGTTTAATTATTAATTTCCATTAAGTATAGGTAGGTACTTGAATAGTTTTGTAACTTTTAAAGTAACGTAAATACGTGGACAAACACGGCGAGAGACTTTGTAATACCTATTTTAAAATGTACCTATACATTTTAGAGCTTATAGTTTTTATTACTTATTATTTATTATACCGAAGTGCATTATAAAAACTTTTTCGAAAACCATCAAAATATGTAGCCTATACCTACCTACATATTTGGTCCTATTATTATTTAACTACCTACGGGTTTAAAATGTATGATTATTTAGACCTGACGACTTTACTGTAATTATTTGAATAACTCATAAGTACATATTAAATTTTAATGGGTAATTCATACATATTAAACAGTGAACATTAACATAATATAAGAGTAGGTATAAAAACAAAATCAATTTCATGTGTTTTATACTTATGTTAATTCATAGTATATTATTATTTATTACCATATACCTAGATAATTGCGTAGACTAACACAGTATTTCGGTATTCGTTTATATCGTTGTCAATCGTCATATCACTGAATTATTATAATATGACCGAATAAATTAATATTCGATTGTACGAAGCAGGGAATAATGATTAACGACTAATACTACTTAAGAAATATTTTTAACAACAATTAAAAGTTAAAAAAAAGGTGAGTAAGTGAATGTCACTCTGCTGTACAGTGGGTTACTGTATAATGGATGGTATTAAGTTTGGATTCAATACGAAAAACGATTCTGAGACGATTAGTCAGTGTGGATATTTTAAATTATTATACTTATATTGTTATTAGTTATTACTAACTTATTATTAATACGGTAGCTGGTAAGTTGAATTAATATTATAAAATTACAACAAAATAACTAAAATCGTCATTCTTGGTTATTTAATAGGTAATTTCGTCCAAATTTGAACATAAAATAACTTTTAAAAAAATGTATTTTTATATTTATAATATAAACTGTATAACTTTAGCTACATGAAAATTTCACTGAAAGTTTATTTTAACATTTTCTATACACCATAACATTTTGAAAATATTTTGACTCTGTTTGAGCTGTTAACGGACATTGTCAGTTTTCAATTTTTTTTCTGTAATTGTCAATAAAATTGTATATTTTGTTGACTCAAAAGGCTTGAATGCAATTCTGTCAATAATGAATTTAACCTACTGTAGTAGGTACTAATGTCTAAATAATAGTAAAATAAATTACTGTATAAGCATAGGCGTGCGCACGGGGCGAGCCGGTCAAGCCAAGGCTCGACCTGAAACTTTTTAGGGGCATAGTAAAATGTGCGTATATATTTAAATATTTTATTATAATGCTTATATTATAATAATATGTTCGTGGAGATCATGACAATTTTGTTTGTCGTGAAATTATAAAAAAATCAAAAATATTTGTGTGTACCTACCTAACCTAACCAATTCATACATTTAATTAATCTAAAAAAAAACATTATACCTTTATAGGTACAAATACAATAACTATAGTACTATAGACATCGATAGGTTAATATATTATCAACATGTATGTTGGTGTGTTAAAAAAAAAATTAGGGGCGCAGTCCAAATATTAGGGCACTATAATTGTCTAGGCTCGACCAGAAATTTAAGTCTGCGCACGCCTATGTGTATAAGTTTAAAATATATAGTATTATTAATAATATAGTAGTATTATTATACAGCGTCGTCTTCACTCAGAATCGTCTTTTCGTAAGGTTGATTTTATATCATTGAGTTGAAATTTAACACATCCATTACAGATGACTCTCTAGACACCTAATGTACAGCAGAGCATTACCCATTTCCCCCTTTTTTTAATTTTAATACATAAATAATAAGACACCCCTTATATACATATACAGCAGGGCGACTTCTCCAGTTTGTAGTATATTTGAAGTACAACTTCTTTCTTGAGATGTGGGTGGAAAAATATTGTAACGAAAAGGAAACAACAGGAAAAATGAAACGACACGTTTGCTTATTTATTTATATATGTCCATAGCAACCATTAATTAACAAAAATTTCTATCGTAAATTACATATTTTTTTATTGTATTGATTTTTCTCACCCTCTCCCTATTTCACTTATAATTGCACGGGCCCAATTACTTATAAAAGTAATACTCTCTCACTTATTTTTTGAATACATTGAATATACACTAAGTAGAAAATGAATAGGTAGCTTAAACTTAGGCACTTTCATGATAATTAAACAAAGTAAAGTGAAAACATTTTAAATAAGCTAAAGCCTAAAATATAATAATTTATAATACTTTGATTTCAGGATATATTAGAGTTTATTGAACAATCCTCACATGGTGTCATTTATTTCACTTTTGGTTCAACTGTTAAAATGTCTTCAATGCCGGAACACATAAAAAATGCGTTTATTAATGTTTTAGCTCAAATTCCTCAGAGAGTTTTATGGAAATATGAAGATGAATTAGAGAATAAACCGAAAAACGTAATGATGAAAAAGTGGCTTCCCCAACGAGACATCCTAAGTAAATAAACTATAAAAATTATTGATTCTAATAATTGTAAACATGCTTGATTCTGCTCTTTAGTGCACCCTAAAGTTAAACTATTCATCAGTCATGGTGGTATATCTGGATTATATGAAGCCGTGGATGCCGGTATCCCAGTCCTTGGATTTCCTTTATTTGGTGATCAACATAGAAATATAGACAATTTAGTCAATGCTGGGATGGCGATCTCTATGGACTTATTTTCTGTGTCTGAAGAAACATTCTTAAAACATGTTTTAGAACTTATCAACAACAAAAAGTAAAATATAATTATAATAATATAATATAATACTTCTAATATTAGTGAATACAGTTAGTAATAAAAATAATTTAATTTGCATAAGTACTAACTATATATATATTATTTTCCATAGATACACGATAAATGCTAAAACTACTTCAAACTTATTCAAAGATCGACCGATGACACCTGCACAATCGGTTGTTTACTGGACAGAGTATGTACTTCGTCACAAAGGTGCACCACATTTAAAATCGCATGCGGTTAATCTAACGTGGTATCAATATTACTTATTGGATGTTATTTCTTTTGCAATCATTTTAATTTCTGTAGTTCTTTTTGCAATTTACAAAATTGTAAAATGTATTTATAAGTGCATTTCAATATGTTATAATAATGTGAAAGCAAAGATCGAATAGGCAATAAACTTATAATACCTAAATAATAAATGCTATTACAAAACTATTGCATACAATTATACAAAGTACAATCATAATTCCTTTTTATTTCAATTTTGCTGAATTTTGCTTAAAATTAATTTTTGACGAATTTTATCTGAAAATAATTTACTAGTAAAAATGTTGTTATTATTTAAGAATTTTCGGAGGGGGGGGGGGTACAACCCTCTAAGCCCCCCCCACAACTCCTTGATACACCACTGGGTATAATTATTATAAGTTATAACCTATAGTATAAAATATAAATTACGATAAGTCTTATATTAAATACCTACATCTTTATTTCAGTTATTATTTTGAACTGTCAACATTTTTTTTTTTTAATAGTATCTTATTTAACCAGAAATAATCGTGTATTTGATGTTTATAATTTAATATATAATTTATATTATAAACAACGTATTCTGGGCAGTGTCGCAACTTGATTACAAGGGGCCTGTGTTAAAATGGCCAGACTGGGACCATTATTTTCAAATAAGAACTAACAGTCATACCTATAGCTTATTATAACTCTAAAATAAATGTTTTTCTCGTAAGTCATGGTTTAATAGTTAATAACTTTAATTATCTTTATATATAAAAATGGAGACAAAAAATTAGAAATAGCATCAGTTGAGAACGGCTTGGCCGATTTTGCTCAAATTTTTTTTAAATGATAGAGAATGTCGGTGAGCGGGTTTATAGCATAAATTATGGACCTAATTCATGTTAGTTAGAGATTTAGAGACAAAAACTGAGTTACACCGGTGGCGCCCTCTAGCGGATAAAAATATAAATATAAATATAATATAAATAATAATAAAAATCGAAAAAAAAAATATATTTTTATATTCTGGTTGATATACATTTTTTATTATAGACACTTATAACTTTAGAGTAAACAAATATAATAGTTGGCACATTATTCATTTTACTTTGAAACATTATGGTTTTATGTTTTCTATGAACTTTTTCAATCAAAAACGACTATTGTTTTTTGGAGAGAATTTTTATGCTTGAATCATGCCTCCTATGAGAAGAACAAACATTGGACGGCGTACACGTAATGCAAGACACATTAATAGTCACATTTTAAAATAATATAATATCTTCTTATTTATTTTATCCAATTAAATAGATAACAATACAACTAAATAACAAACTTTGAATATAAACAAATGAATAACAATCTTAAAAAAACAATATTTTTTTATTAAAATTAAAAATAAAGAAAAACTTATGTACCTAATTTTATTGAATCAGTCTTTGATTTACAAATTATAAGCATATGATATGTGTTTACATAAGAGGATGAATAATGTACAACAAAACTATTTTTGTCAAAAGTGTAACTTGGATCCTTTTCAACAAATCACCATTCAAATATACGTCATTGAGATAGCACATCTATATATATATAATTTAAATCAAGCAAAAGAGGAAATCTTTGTTACGGTTTGGCTTCGAAACTTCTTATCCAATTGTCATGCATTTTTTTAATGAAAGAGGATATCACGGAGCAGGTTTTGGGCATAAATAAAGTCCGATAATGTTAGTCAATAATTAGTTATCTATATATATAAAGATGGAGAGTGAAAAATGTCGTTACCTCATCAATCGAGAACGGCCAGTCCGATTTGGCTCAATTTTTTTTTAAGATGTTCGTAATTACCAGGAGAAGGTTTTTACGAAAGAAAATTTTAAGAAAATCCATCGGAAAATTAGGAAATCTGGATGTAAAGAATACAACAGTAGAGCAAAACAGTGTATATATATTGGTTGCTATTGGTTAATCGGGCATGTTTGTTGATTTGTATTATTTTTTATAAATATATATACATATAAATGAATGTTTATGTACAGAATAAACCTCTGGGAAGAAGACAGGCTATTTTAAACTGGTTAAATTTGGTTTTTTTTATTCATCTGATATTAGTACGGTTAGGTTAGGTTAGGATTTTGTATTAATAGATTATATTAATCCATTATAGGTGGAACACGACAAATTTGCTATAACTTTAATACATAAGAGTTAAATCATACAGTTACGTACAAACAGCACGGGGTCCGCGATCTACCGCAAGTAGATTGCCTACCTGATAATATACTGCTGCAAATTAGAATTTTTATTCCGGCCAACGAAAAAGTTAAGATACATTTTGAACACCATACACCGAATATTATAAATAACGAATTGAACACAGTTTGAGGCATATAGAGTTGGTACATTGAACGGGAAACGAAGTGCACGGGATCAGCTAGTTTATATATATTTTTGTAAAACAAAATATAAATATTAAATTTTTTTGTTTTCATTTATATTTTAAATTATATTTATATTTATATTAGTTCTAAATGTATTACGATTCACAGGCGCATAGGATTAACTGTTGTACAACAATATATTCACACATAATTAATTTCAAGACATATGCCAATGCATAGCATGTAAGAACAATGAATTCACTGTAGTACACTGTAGTACACCTTAAATAAATGTATAGGTACCTGTTATACTTATAACTTATATTAATAATATATTACCAAACTCACCGTAGACGACTATGATACATCCACTATATAGTGTCAAACTTAATTTATTAATTTATGTACATTAATTTAGGTACAATTACAACGATTTGTCTGTACAAATAAAATGAAATAAATTAAAATATATTAATATATAAATATTAAATACTCCTAAAAATCCGGGATGATCAACTATGACCCCAATACTATTTTAGGTACCTAGGTACACTGTATAAACATTTTTTTCTACTAAAAAGCTATAGGCTATATGTTATCACCCACTTCACTGTGTCTGCAATCTAACACAGATGGCTTACCTGATAATAATATACTGTTCGCATACCATAAGCGAGACTCGCGTCGCCCGCGACTGAAATAGCTCACTTCCCGCCCTTGCCACATAATATACTATTTAAAAGTTTGTAAGTGAGTACCTACTCAAAATAATTAGTTCACACAATATGTTGTTTTGTCTTATAGCTTAATTATTATTTAGAACTATTTTTTTGTACAATAACCTACCCACCATATTTGTTAATAAGTACCCTATATACACTAAGTACACGATAGTATATTAAACTATTTACAATAATGTAATTGCTTGCTATATCCGAGCTTAGTTCTAATTTCAATTTTAACCACTGGTTTTTGAATGCAATATTCATTTAAGAATTTGGTAAACGTATTTATTGTTTAATTATTATAAATAAATATATATATATATAATTTAAATTATAATCCATAATATTAACTATAATTATATTGTGATTTATTTTCTAGTGTAGTAAATTGTAACATCATTTATATCCACAGGTTGTATTTCAAAACGAAACGAAAAACTGTTTTAAATACAACTTAATACAAAAGTACCTGTACAAAAACATCTACCTATGAAGTTTAATTGTTTAGTTTTAATCAATGGCTAAGCTTTTTAAAAAAATATTAAAAAATAGATATCAACATGTATATTTCTAGAGATTTAAATTAAACTGATAAGCTTACCTGTACATGAAAATATGGCTCTATTTGAACTTGATAATTCGTTCTACTGTTTTGTGGTATAAGTGCAATGTTTATATAAAAAAATTAAACATTTATCAACCAAGGGCGAAAACGGTTCGTGTCGATAATAGTATATAATAAATAATTGATAGGAAACGGTTAGAAACTAAAATCGATTATTTATAGCTAATAAAATAAAATATTTTAATATCCACAATTGCACATAACTGATATATTCAATTTGGTACCTATAATAGTATTATATTTTACAGTGTTATTGTTGTATATTATTTATTATTTTATATTAATAATAGCCTCAGAAAGATTGAAGCCTTCTTTATTAAGTTAGGTAATATTTCCATTGGATGTTATTAAATAAATTGAAATATAAATACATTTTTAAAAAAACTTTATTTTTTATCGTGATCCGTTTTTAAGAAGTTTACTTTTTCAAATAAATTACAAAATTCATTTTTATTTTATTTTCTGTAGCCGGATATTTTTAAACAGTTCTCAGTATTTCAATCTATAAAAATCCAATTTTTTACGAGTGGTTTATTACTTATCGTTCCTAGAACTTATAAATATTTTAATTTTTAATTTTTTTTTGTTTTTAATAATTTTAAATGATGTAAAAAATATTTGTAAAAACGTTCAAACTTTATTAAATAATTAGAGTCTTAAGTTGAAATTAATATTTAGTATCCAACTGTCATATTATATATCGAGTATACTCCTATTGAACCAGTTAAAAATATTAATATTATATTACAACCTATAGTATATTTTGGTGCCAGTACATACAGCATAATATTATATTTAAACCCAAATTTTACTATAGAATGTACATTAAATTATAAATAATACAAGCAGAATGAGCTCCACTAAGCAATATTGACGGGGATTCTAAATTACAGAACCATAAACGTGTTCATCTCATCAAATCGCAGTATTTTTGGTTTTTTCTATGTACAATATACATTGTTGATAAAACGTTTTGTTCATTACCTAGTCAAATAGTTTAAGAATTAAACGAATGGTTCCTCGCTCACAACAAACCAAAATTATACCAGTACAATATAGACGCGATTTCCACAAGTTATGTAAATTAATCTTACATCAGTCAACACGATTAATAATAATATCAAATAAAAACCAAACAAAGTACAAAGCAAAAACGCTTATTGGTGTTAATGTACCATACGATTACGGTTTTATAGCAATATTTATAATTTATAAGTATAATTTTTTTACATAGACATTTCTTTTGGTACGGGGCTAGAATTCTGACCACAGTACTTTCGGCCAATCTTAGGCGATTAAGGGAGGTACCGCAGGGCATAGACAACAGATACAGCTGATCATTGACTAACGGATATATGGCACAAACGAGGCAATACTGCACTGTCGGGTTATATTACCTAACACCTAAAATAGCCGTCGGCAGGCACACGGTGCACAAATTATGTGAGGATAAACCTGCCCAACGACTGCAAACAAGGGGACAACAACTGTCGGACACAAACGGTTGCAAGTATACGGATTTGCACTATTGTCCTGTTAAAATGCAGCCGGATACAAATGCGCTGAGCGAACTCGGGATAACCGTGAGTACTACACAGGAGTGTCAAAGGTGATAAGTGAGGGGACAAACTAAACTCACTTTCAAACCGGTGGCCAAACACTATCCTCAGAAAACTATAAACTTAAAGGTCTATGTCTCGGTCAGCACCGCAGCAAAACATTCGCCGAGCGAATCTCTTCACCCGGCTCCATAGTGACATATTTTAGGTCTGGAGGCCGTTTCTGAGGTTTCCATTTCTGCAACATCTCCACTGCCGCAAAGGAATACCGTTTCCTGTAAGCTGGCGGTCCCGGGTCCAAAGGTTTTGTCAAACCATTTTTCGACTCGGCATCTCTTCCAATTGACTGCGGTGCCATGTTGTGTATTGGACTAAACTGTTGGGCGTCGACCGGCTTAACCAGTGGGAAAGTTGGCGAGACGGACAACACTGAGTCGGTGTCGATAAGTTCTGAGGCGACGGGTGTCATTACTGCACTGTATTACTTATAGTTGTTTCCACATACGATGAATCCGACAAAACGGTAATTTTCGTGGGCAGCATCGACTCCGGCATTTGTTAGGAATGCCATATCGAGCATCGATGTACATAGTCTTTTAGCCTCTTAATATCACTAATGTCGACGGGTATCTGACGATTTCCACACAAATCGTTTGAGGACTGCAAATCGATCTGAACGGCCTCGCCTTCGGAAATTAACTGCTTTGGCATGATAGGTAACGATGTATATCGTCGATGCAGTTTTAAACAGGTGAGATCATGGTCTTGAAACCTTTTAGGTTTTCGATCGTCAAACACCTGTATCATTATTTCGGTAGAGGACTGTATCTTGGCTTCGGACGAATATTATTCACTGCTGCGATATCAGACATAATAATAATCTGATATAGGATAACCGATAAGGTCAATATATATACAACAATTTAACTCTGTATTATAATCAATGAGTGTTGTAAATAATATATTTACTGATTTAATGCGAACTAAACATAATTCAAACAGTTATACGCTACCCATAGTTACAAGATTTGTAAAGTTTTTTTTTAAAACCAGTCAGTGGGGCCCATTATTTTTTTGAAATAATAAATAAAAAAACTAGAGTGTGTTTGTAGTACCTACGTATCTACAGGGGAAGTAAAACTTTTTTAGCACATGATCATATGAGTTGTGTGTAATAAAAGATTAAATCGCATATTTATACGTATTCGTCATCTGTATACCATAGTTTACATCTGTAATATAATAGGTATTATGTAAGTTTTGTACATTTGTACTAAATTACGTATCTGTGCACTGTTTGAATGTATAGGTATTACAATATAATATGTGGTTTTACACATAATAATAATTCACGTGATAATAATATAAATAATTATTAGTTCAATATTAAAAAGCTTATTCGTTGTAAATTGTAATGAGTAAAATTAAAATTACAGTCAACTCAATTTGTGAATAAAAAATATATTTGATAATAATATATTATACTATTATGTGTGTTCATGACTATTATAGGTATATATTAATTATTTAAATTAGCAGTATAATATAATTATGTACCTACCAATGACCAGTCACGGTTCTGTTTAATCAGAGTTTATAATATTAGTATACGCGTGTTCACGGCATATAACAATATTTTATTGTTTATTCTCTATAATATGTTATGTATTAGACATGATTTTTGTATATATAAAAAAAAATATATTCTTATATAATAATAACTATTGATTAAGCTTATATTTTATGTTAAAATTGTTACTTATTCACTATTGTCACAATTTTAAATGTATTTGTAATTCGTCCATAAATTAATAAATAAAATAAAATAAATTAATATAAGCTACAGGTGACAACACTTGGTTGATTTCATGCGTTCCGTCCAGGATCTTCATTACAAATGTAAATGTACTATTATATTATCAATTTAACCAGCTTGAGAGACGATAAGCAACAACCAAACGTGGACCTATAAGTAATTCACTTTATTTATTAAAGTAAATTAATTATTGGCGATTTAAGTTAGTCGGAATGCGATCTAATTTATAATCCTAATTATTTTCTAACGTGTTGAAAGCATTTAGTCATCATTATAAATTATAAACAATTAATAACTAAATAAATACCCATGAAATGTAAACTAATATATATTTAAAAAAAATATATAAAATGCATTTCAACGGAATTCTCGTGATTTTTCAAAACGTAAATTGTAGGTTTAGGTCAATCACTAAAAATTACACCTATGAAAACACTGATAGAACGAAACAATATTATCAATAGAACATTCAACATTTTAAAATTGAAATATTTACTTGAAACCAATTTTTAACAAAATCGACTTTTATTTATTTTAATACTAGCTGAACCCGTGCACCTCGTCGCCCATTAAAAATACCTACTCCATATGTATTTTACGGATTATATTAATCTCAAAACGTTAATTAACATAATCAAAAAGGGATTACCCATCATTTGTGCCCAGGTTCACGCTTGCCAACTACAGAAGGGCATTCTGATATACAATATTTCTCGTTTTACCATCTGGGGCGTACACATACAAATCTTCCGGTCTCCCGACGCGGGAGCAGGCAACATACAGCTGTCCATGGGAGAAGCATGGATTTTCCAAATTTAGGCCACACACTTGTAGTGATTGGCCCTGTGCCTTGTTGATGGTCATGGCAAAAGCGATTCGCACCGGAAACTGCAAACGTTTGAACGTGAAGGGCAAATCCGTAGGAATCATTGGGATTCGGGGCAACATTACATATTCGCCCATAAACTTTCCGTTTAAAATTGTAGCCTCGATAATGTTGTTCATCAATTTCGTTACCGAAAGCCTGGTACCATTACAGAGTCGTGGAGGATTGATGTTTCGTAGAAGAATGACGGGAACGCCAATTTTCAACGATAGAACGTGCGGTGGCATGCCTGGCAAATCAAGCGAATTTAAGAATTCAGGTGGATAATTGACTTCCTCGTCTTGACTCGTTACAATGTCTATGGACTTGTAAGTTTTCAATTCGCCTGGTACCTTGTTTTGAATTCTGAAATTGATAGCATTCACATCGATGTTTTTGGCTGCCAATATGGCCCGGGCACCGAGCCACTGAAGATTTTTGTAATTTTGTGGCAGATTCGGGAAGACCTTTGCAATTAACTCATCTGCGGTAGCCGTGATCTTACAGAAATCGGCCGGCAATGTGATGCATTGTGTTGATTGATCGACGGTCATTAAGCCATTACCCATATCTAACAATTGTTTTGCGAACAAATCTGCCGATGCCTCATTCCGTAGTTGTACCCGCATATTAGTCTTCAAGCTCAATTTATGCACGTGCAGCCACAAACCTGAAGATTTGAGACATGCATTGAGTTCATCTGCTGGGGTTGAACGTGGTATTACCGGTAGAGTTTGCCGAAAATCACCGGACAGCAAAATGAGTGCACCACCGAATAATAGGCCAGGATTTCCTCTTAAATCTCTTAGGGTGCGATCAAGGGCTTCTAATGATTTTTTGTGCGCCATTGTACATTCGTCCCACACAATGATCGTACATGATCGGAGGATTTTCCCGATTCCTGAATTTTTAGTGATATTGCACGTTGGTCTCTCCGTGAATTGTACGTTCAACGGTAATTTCAGTGTTGAATGCGCGGTTCGCCCACCCTCCAGAAGAGTTGCTGCAATTCCTGAAGATGCCATAGCCAGTGCAGTATCGTTTTGGGAGCGTATCGCTGCCAAAATTATTGAGATTAGGAAAGTCTTGCCCGTGCCCCCAGGCGCATCCAGGAAATACAATCCTCCGCTTTTACTTTTGATTGCCTGCATAATTCTGTCGTACGCAATACGTTGTTCAGTAACCAACTTTGGGAGATTCTTTTGAACAGATCTACCCATTTCGGCGTCGTCAAACTGTGGCTCACGTTGCAAATCTCGATTAAAACGGCCGTTGATGGATCGATTCGGCGAAGGCAGTCCAAGTTGAACCAGAGCTTTGTTAACGATTTCCAAACACATGTCCTCAATCTCAATTAATGCCTCATTATACACAATGGGGGAAAAACGAATGTCCGGAACTTGATTCGTAGTACGCAATCGATGTAAAATGTCTTCGCTCATGTAGTCTCTGTATTTTTCCCAAAGGTCTTTTGGATTTGATGGGAAGCACGTTGTTAAGATTATCGCAAATAGAGAGCGTATTTGCCGTGGTCGAGCAATATTCGATGCATCAGCGAGTGAAATATCCCAATGGGCATCGTTTTCAAGAAGATGTAACTCTTGGCAAGCTGCATGATACGTGGCACAAACCCGCCCGTCCACCGTTCTCAATTCTTCGAAGGATGTCGGCCCACGTACATTGATTAACAGTAAGCGCAAGTAAAAGCATTCCAAATTGTTTGGATGAACTGTGTATAAACGGCCTAACGCATCGGTCATATATAAACCTGAGTGCCCCTCCACTGCCTTGCCCTGTATGCGACGTTGAAACTTTTTCACGGAAGTATTCCATCTGTAATAAGTCGGCACCTCAGAATAAAGTAGCGTCTTTGCAAACGTATCTTGGTTGCACAATGAAAAAAATGCAGTTAACGTGGTCGGAGGTGGGGACATTGCTCTTGCACGTATATTGCCGGCCGTGAAGTACACACGCTGGCCATTTTCAAGATGCACTGCCAAATGAACCACAGTTGGATGTCGATCATGGATTTGAAATGATAATATGCGCCAAATTGCCTCATTACTACTAATGTAGCGGCCGAGTTGATATTGATTTATTTCATCGATAGTTCTAGTTCTATTTTCCACACCAAACACTGCCATATCGCCCCCTTTGTTGACATATTTGCAAATGTATTTGATGGATTTCACAGAATTGCAATACTCAACATTGATGTGTGCCTTGAACGTCTTTGAGAGTAATGGTGAATACGGTACAACCCAACGATTATCAACTTCGACGTCAATATTACGTACTTTTAGAGTGATAGATTTGCCGCCATCCGTGGTTGATCGTCGACGATAGAGTGGATACCCGTCATTCCCGGTGATGGTCTCACTAACCAAAGCTCTCGGGTATCGCTTGGTGCATTTCCCATCAGACATGCATGGTGAGGAAGGGTTGAGTGCCCCACATGGACCATGAATCATGTTTTTTGTGACGACCTCTAATAAAACTGGGTCTCCGTCGCCATCGGGTAATTCTGCAGAAATAAGCTGATCAATTATATCTGGTGTTAATTTTGTGATCATCCAGATTAAAATGTGTGCATGGGGCAATCCCCGTTTTTGCCATTCGATGGAATACATCCAACAGCGTGTCTCTCCAAAAACTGCCAAACTGTGCTAGAACTGCGGGACTATTTATCGATCGTTTGTTGTTGGGCATAATAAATTAACTAATAATAGTAGAAATTCTTATAATAGTTGCAATTGAATTCAGTTATAAAAATGAATCGTTAGGCACTATAATAAATAACAAACGTGTTAAACCATTGGCAACCAATAACTATTATTATTATAGCTTTGAAACCCACGGTAACTATTTAAAAACTAAAAGGTCCATAAGTTTCAAAATATTATATAATTGATATGAAATCTTGGTAACCTTAGTAACCATGGCAACCTTGGTAACCATGGTAACATGGACACACTGACATACATTCATTTTTATATATATAGATTAATTGCAATAATTCAAAACAAATAACCATAGATTGGTAGGAACCTGAAATATTCATTAAATATTCATATTCGCATTTAATGAAATAACATAGTTTTAAAAATAGTTTGTCTTCTTTTTGATATTCAACTTATTTTTTTTGACTTATGATAATACAATTTTTGCTTGAATACTTACTGTAATTCAAAAAAAAGTAAGTTTAAATCCACATAGTTATTTAATGAGTACCTTTTACAATTTTACATATATAGGTAATAATAATAATAATAATAATGTATTCAACTCAACTTAGGTAGGATACACAAATATAAATTAATATTTAATTTAAATGATAATATGAATGGTGCTGATTACCCCTCTCTTGAAGCAAGCTTTTGATGAGAGGGGAAGGCTTCAGATATTAATTACCTATACAAGTAATAAATTATTAACATATTTTTTTAAATTTATGAAAGTGGTAAAGGTAGTAAAAGTAGTTAGACATGGTAATACATGGCTGTCGTTGTCATCAAAATATGTTAACAACAAAATTAAAGTAGTGTATAGAAATCAATTATTAACGATTATTGTAGAAGATTACGACGATAAGACTAAATTCAATAGGATATATAATACCTATATAATACTCAATAATAGTATATGTATATCCAGCGATAGACTATGCTTGCAGTCAAACTACCAATGACGTCGTAAAAGTAAACGAGTATAATATTATGAGAACCCCTTGTTGAATAATAATTATTTACAGTTTAGAGGGGTTAACACAGTCTATGAGGGCTATCGCCTACTGTAGTACCTCCTAATGCTTTAAGAACGTTACCCAAGTTTTTTTTATATTAACTTCAATCTTTTGTTAATAGCATATGAATAATATTATGAATAACCTTTCCATCGTACGACGTACAGTACATATATGATATATCTATGATAGTATCACGGTTTGTTATTGATGTATTACGCGTTATAAGCAGTTATAAGTACCTAATGGATATCGTGATAGGATTAATTTGCAATTTATTATAGATACCTATTATAGGTCATTTTTTTTTAATACCATAGATAATAGTATATAATATGTCTTATTCCTAGACTGACATACCGTCTCCGCTCAGAATCGTTTTTCTTATACAATGATATTATATCATTGAATTCAAATTTAATACCATCCATTATACAGTGACCCACTTGTAACCTACTGTACAGCAGAACACCTTTTTTTTAACCTGCAAGAACAATGTTTAAATTTTAACTGAGAATCGTTTAAATTTATCAAATGCTTATAATTTAATCGTCAAAAATATTAATTAAGTAAATACATTTTTAGTCATTCCTACTGATATCTCTGTATATAAATACATAAATATAATACAATTATTACCTACATCTATTTAATCTTATACATTTATAGGCACTACCCGGTCTGTTTACGGTTTACCAAAGTAAATATCTAAATCGAAAAATATCCTATAGATTGTTATTGTTATTGTTATATTTGGAACTATTCGTAATCATAATTTAAACATTTGTACACCTCCCCAAACTTTGGAAAATACATTTTCCCATGGCGATACTGCTATGTATAACCATTACATTATGTCATTGGCATTTAAGTATTTCATACGATCGAGTTTACGATTAGTACTGGCAACAAGTACCCACCTAACAAATACTTACTTGCAACGACCACCAAGTATTTATATTTTTCAAAAATTTCAAAAATTTCTTTTTATATTGTAGTTTTAATTTTTAAGGTCACGTAACTAGTACCAAATAGTTTAAAAATTAACTAAAAAACTTTAAAAAATTTAGAAATTTTGATGTTCGTTAAAAACACCTACTAGTCAAAAACTAGATTGTATAAAAATTGTGGAAATGGTCTAAATGGTAGCACCTGCGTCCTGCAGTACCACCATGGGTAAATTGATTTCCCAAAATGTTGAGATTTCATTATAAGATGTACAAAGGATAAAATATGGATAACAAATCGTATAACAAAATAAATAACAATCGTTAGGATATTTTTCAACTTAGATATTTAATTTGGTGGAACTGGAGTCTGGGGTAACGGACATCTAAGGCTTTAGCTTTTAACTATACCTACTTACTGATCTGATACATTTACTAAGTGATACGATGAATGTATACCTACATTTTACAATGATCTATGTTTGTTTAATTTTTTATTAATTTTTCACCACTCGTCACAATTTGGGGGCGGTAAAAAGTTTCGATTTTTTCTGGTACCTATGAAAATGAATCTAATTGGTACTTTGTAGGGTCGAAATTCAAAAGTAAAAATAGTGGGCAAGTGGGTATCGCTCTGCTGTACAGTAGGTTCCAAGTGGGTCACTGTATAATGGATGATATTACATTTGAATTCAATGATATTGTATCATTGTATAAGAAAAACGATTCTGAGCGGAGACTACGGTATCGGTATGCCCTTCTAGGGACTAGGTATAAGACATATTATATACTTATCTATGGTATTAAAAAAAATTGACCTATAATGAATTCCAAATTAATCATATCACAATATCCATTAGGTACTTATAACGCGTTACCTATACGGCTATACACCAACAACAAACCGTGATACGATCATAGATATATAGTACTATAGTAGTATACTTTAGAAGTTTCAAGTACACACGAATAATATTATACAATCACAACAAAATAACTAAAATAGTTATTCTTGGTTTTTTATTATGTAATTTCGTCCAAATTTGAATTTAAAATGTCTGTAAAAAATAACTGTGTTCATATATTTTTTTGTTATTTTGGTTACAGTATGAACTAATTATGAGAACCTTTGTTTTAAATTTGCAATCCTTGGCTATAAAAACTGAACATTTTATAATTTATTAATTAGGTACAATGATTGATAATTTTCGAGATTTTGATAAATTTTGTCAAAATTCGATCTTAAAATGCTTATAAAAAAAAATCGTGCCTATGTATTTTTAATATTTTTCAATTGCTATTGTAACAATATATCAGGAGCCTTGTATTAAATTTTTACTCTTTTTGGCCAAATAGATAAAACTTTATTGATATTTATAGAAAAAAAAACTAAAAAAATTTAAAACTGAAAATGTCTGAACAATTTTTACGAATTCTTAACTCAAAACAATTTGCTAATTTTCGTGATTTTTCCATATTTTTACAATTTTTGAACTTTAAATGCTTAAAAAAAAAACTGTGACTAACGATTTTTAATATTTTTCATTTGTCTTTGAAAAAATATAGTAGGAGCCTTGTATTAAATTTTCAAGTTTCTTTAACCAACAAATAAAATTTTATTGATATTTCTAGAAATAAAAACTAAAAAAAAATGAAAATGTCCCTAAACAGTTCAAAATAAATCAAAATATTTTGAAAATGTTATCGTGTATAGAAAATGCAAATAAAAACAACCAGTGAAAATTTCATGTATCTACGGTCATTTGTTTTAAAGTTACACCAAAAACCAAATTCAATTTTCTGAAAAATCGATTTTGCGTAAAAATTCCCGTTTTTCCTCAATTTTCCTTAATTTTTCTTTTGTTTTTCTTGGCGCTTTTGAAAAGTACTGGGAATTTTGACCTCCTCAATGCACCAACGATATTCACTTTCCAATCGAACAAGATACTGAAGTCGAAAATCGAAGCATTATTTCGACTACTAATCGTGTACACAGACACAAAAAAAAAAATTAAAAAAAATAAAAAAAAAATATAAAAACACTTAAACACACATCATTGTAAAATCAATGCATTCTTCGTTCCACTCAGAATCTAAAATTTTAGAATTAGAAAAACAGGAATTTATACTCAAACTCAGTTCTCAACAAAATCGATTTTCGTTTATGGTGTATAACTTAAATACTAATAACCGTAGATACCTACTTTAAATTGTTTCCAAATGTTTATATATGACTTTTTTTCAAACATTATTATATTTTAATTTTTCAAGCTATTTACAGGCATGAAGTATGTTTGTTGTTTTTTTTTTTTAATTATTGTCTCAAAATAATTTTATTTGGATTTTGGACCAACTCGACTATGAAGTTTTCCGAAGAGAACTAAGAAGTCTACGATACGATCGTACAATGTACATTATCGTACCAAAGAGTAATTTCTACGATTTTATTTTTGGATATTGTCATTCGTCGTGGATACCAGTGTTGTATAGTAGTTACTGAACAGTACGGCAGAATATAATATTTTATGGGTTTTTCTGTTTTTGTTTATCAATACCCACCTGCACGATTATAAATTATTATAATCGTGATACCTATCTATCGGTCGTTGATTACCTAATTATTATTTATTACACACAGAGCGTGGCTGTGACTTGCGAGTTGTAAGCTTATAGTAGGTACCTACCTAATAATACCTATTTGGTAAGAATTTTGATAGTTTCGACGTACCTGTATTTTAATGTTTATCAATTCCATTCTGAATTAAGTAATAATATATTATGTCAATTTTATTATAGGTATTTTGTTTTTGTGAATACATCTTACGAGTTGCGATTTACGATCAACACATAAGTAGGTACTTACCTACTTCGTTTGGAATTTTTGGAGCACAACAGTCAACAGTGAAAATTAATAATATTATGCGATTTTCCTGTACGTAAAAAATAATTGTCTAAAATGCAGCTTCCCGATCGAAGGTAATAGTTATTTGGTATTAGTTTAAGATTTAAGCCACTGGTTTAAAATTAGATAGGTACTGTATAAAAACTAACCAATTTTTTATTCATTTAGTATTGATATTATGTTATTCTTTCTATTGAATGAAATACTTTTTACCAGGCATAGCCATATTATTATTATATTATATACTATATAGCTACTCTTTTTTTCCATCAGTTTAAGATCACTTAAGCGATAAGCCATGTGTATTAACGAAGGGAAATATTTCCAATAGGTACATTAATAAATTCAAGTTAATCACACACTAGCGACACAACACACCCCTACAAATTAATTCCATTATTTTTCAATCTACCTACATACGTATTATATCAATTGATAGATGTAAACTACCTCTAGGTTCGAAAATTAATTTAAAAATACTCAACAACTATGTAATGTTTAACGTTTTAGGAGAAAATATTTTAAAACATTAAAATATTGAGGTAAAATTGAGGTAGGTATAATTTTTATTAGGTAGGTGTGTATTTTGAAGGCAAGGTTGATTTATTCTTGATCTGTACACTTTTGAGTTTTATTTGAATAATATATTAATTGTTAGGTACTTACCTACAACCTACTTTTACATACAATTATACAAAATATCTAAAACAGTTCTTAAAAATGTTAGCTAGGTAGGTACACCTAGGTCAGTAATATATCATTCAAATAAGGTAAAAAAAAAACCACAAACAAATAATAACAATATATTTTACTTAAAATAATTATTATGAGACTTAAAAGGCTCTGTTTCTTGGCTTAATGTATATCTTAAAATATATGATGTAATTGATTTACATTTTAAAAAGCTTTTCTTAGCATATGCAAAAAAAAAATTAACATAATGGAATTATAATTATTATTAATATTAATTATAATTGTTCAAATATAACCTACCGGCTACCAATATTGAGATTTGAGATGCAAAATATCTAATTTTAAAATAATGCTAATTATACCTATTCATATTTCATACACATAGACTTCTAACTAAAGTTAACTATTTAGTTAATAGGTCTATGTTCATTATATTTTACCTACATTATAAATAAAATAGGTATGGTTTTGTACCTATCTTAATATACCTGTCCGTGTGTAAGTGTAAATTGTTCAAACTCCTATTTAAAGGATGTAACGATTATGATGAACATTTTTGTGTTTGCTTGAGTGGGTCCTTCTTATTGGTTTAGATTCCAAGTAGGCCCGACCCGGGGAGGGGCTCAAAAAGGGATTTTGAGATTTACGATTAAAATTTTGGTTTATAAATGGTATTGGTATAGGAGGAATAATTAGTAGAAATTAGTATTTATTTATTATTGGTTGCCATTGGTTAAAGTTAATGTTTGCATTAAATCGAATTTTCAAACATTACCTACCAAGGTGGCTGAGTTGCACTTACTGCAGCGAGTGACACCCAAAAGGAGTTGAAAAATCTTAATTTTTTTAAGACTTTTTATTTTTTAGGGCAACGTAAAGTGTGGGATTAGCTAATATACTTTATAGTATATACTTTAATTATTATTTATTGGTGTGATTGGTAATAAATATGTAATTTTGTTATATTAATTTACATTCTCATTACACGGACATATAGTACCTATATTGATAGTTGTATAAAGTTATAAGTAAAATATGTCTTAGATAGTTTATTATAATATTCTGTCATTAAGAAACCAGTTGAACAACACATTTTTAAAGCCCTTTTGCCTTTTTATGTTTATTAAATGTGGTTTTACCATTTTGATTATGTTTTAGAAAATTTAGAAATTGTTAACGTATATTATACTTTATACTTTATAAATCTAATTTAAATTTATATCACTACCTAAACCATTGTAAATCAAAAGAATTAAATACATCTTTGTTATTGTTACGTTTTAGAAAACTGTTTCAACAACGCCGTCATCGTAGAGAAGAAATTGAAGCTCAGCTGCGTAGAACACAGATTGAAAGTACTAGTTCTGAAGATGAAGAGTCATTTGAAGATGTATCAGATGATGAAGTGGTAAATGAAAATGAATCAGAAGAAGAAGTAGCAAATGAAGGTGAATCAGAAGAAGAAGTAGCAAATGAAGGTGAATCAGAAGAAGAAGTAGCAAATGAAGGGGAATCAGAAGAAGAAGTAGCAAATGAAGGCGAATCAGAAGAAGAAGTGTTAAATGAAAATGAATCAGAAGAAGAAGTGGTAAATGAAGATGAATCAGAAGAAGAAATAGTAAACGAAGAGGTATCCGAAGAAGAAGGCTTAAATGAAGATGAATCAGAAGAAGAAGTAGCAAATGAAGATGAATCAGAAGGAGAAGTAGCAAATGATGATGAATCAGAAGAAGAAATGGTAAGTGAAGATGAATCAGAAAAAGAAGAAGAAGACGTAGATGATGAAGAAGAGTACAATACAAGTTTCAGTGAAAAAAGCTTAGCAAATAGCAGCAACGGTCATAATAGTTCTAGTAATCTTTCAAACACAACAAAAGTTAAACTTGACGATAGGTAAGGAATTTTAAACATTAAATTATTTATGATAAATTATTAGTAAATAGGTACTTATTCTTTTTATTTTTTAGTCAATTATCTGTTGTCCATGATGAATCTTTCAATGAGACATTACAGGATAATACTAAACTTGCTAAAAATAATAGTGAACTAATGAACAAAAATAATTCCGATGATGATGATGATGATGCTTTGCACGACTCTAATTTTAATATGAATGATCGACAAAATCGAGTTGTTGAATGGATGGTTGCCAGAGAAAGTCAAAAACCATATGGTGGAATAATTGGCAAGTTTAAATTAAAAAATATTAGAGTATAGGTAGTAATTTAATTTACTTTATATTAATATAGCAACTGATATGGGTACCACCGATTGTAAAATTACCATATTAATGAATTTGTTAACGAAGTCCAAACCTTCTAATTCAGTTAACACACAATCAGAAGGAGAAACTGATTTGGATGAAACAATTGTCACCTCAAAAGGATGTACATTGATTTTGTGTCCAAAATCAAGTATAGATCATTGGTTTGATCGTATGAACGAAAAAAAAAATCTGGGTTCATTAAACGTGTGGCTACATTATGGAAGAAATCGAGATATATCACTGCAGGAGTAATTTATTTTATTATTATTGTTACTAATATATAAAAATTGCAATAGATACATTTTTCTTTTAAAATTCTAGTTTAACTCAAAAAGATGTCGTTATCACAACAGTTACCCTGATTCTTTCAGGTTTCCGCAACAAAGTAAATGTAAGAATATACTCTTAATAACTCTTTCTTAAGACTAGTTGGTTACCTACCTTTATAATTTTTGATTTAGTGTTTACTTTACATAAGTTGTCATGCTTTGAAAAACAGTTTAATACAGTATTATGAATCAAAACTGGTGGACAGCATTATAAACATACTAATTAATTCAATATTTCAATACCTAATGTTCGTAAAATTTTAAATCAAATATTTTATTTTTAGAATCCATTATACCAAATAAAATGGCATCGAATAATATTGGATGATAATAAGCTTTATAATTATAAGCAGCAAACTTCCAAGGCTTTATGTCAATTATCAGGCATTTGTCATTGGGTTTTTTGTGGACCTACAATTATTGACAATGATGATGATGAAGCTGTCTATAGTTTAATTAAATTTATAAATTATACACCATTAAATATATTTGAAGTAAGATAAAAAATAGTATACACTACAGTAAAAAAATATGTAACTAAATATATTTGAAATTTGATTTCAGAATTGGAAAAAGTGGATAAAAGTAAATCAAGGTGTATCAATATATGAAAAGTTGGGACATTTATATTATAAAAAGAAAATTGTTTGAATAGAAGGTGATATTTATTATCTTCATTCAAACAATTATATGTTAATAATTATTAATTTTTGTATTGAATTATTTTACTCAAATTCTAGTTATGAATTTGTTTTATACTAATGTTTTAAAATTTTATTTACTGAAAGGGACTGGTCAGAAAATTTTTAATTATAGATGTACCTATGCATCAACAAATAATATTTTAATTGTAAAGAATGTCTCATAAAATATTGTCAATCAGACATTATTTGAATATACTATATTATAGGCAATAATAATGTAACTTACCTATATTGAAATCAACTGGAACAGCAACTTCACCTGAGTTGGTTTGTTGGGTCTCCGGTTGAACAATATAAGTAACACTTAAATTATCTGTTTTATTTTAATTATTTTAATAGTACCTATTCTTCACTGTTTATGTTGTGTCAAATCTGAAACAGGCTGTCATGGGTTGAATATTAAATAGTAAAGTAGTCCTATCTGACTTGAGAACCTAACTGAAAACTTAATTCAAAGTCATTTAGCTTCTCAAGTTTAGGTAGATATACATATCCAATATTCCGGCCACTTTTTATTTCCAATACTAACAGCAATATGATTAATGTACCCAATGAAATAATAATATTTTTATTACTACATTGAAATTAAAATCAATAAAAAAAATTGTCTATATTATGTAAAATATCAAATTGTTGACAATAATTTATCATTTAATATTCCTAATTTCGGTTGCAAATGTTCGAATTGGAATTTTTTGGTATAACTAATTATGTTATGATACTAAAAGTGACTGATATCTGATCTTATTTATATTTTAATTAAGTTTTATTTTTTACTATCTATTTGATTATTTGACATCAGGTTAGTGGATTAGAGTTCACGTCAATACATAATTTTCCTAAATCATAAGGAAAATATCAATTTTAGGTATTTCATTCACAATATAAATACCTTACACACAATAAAACCATGTACAATTTGTTAATGGTTGATCATTTATTTTAAGATTGCTAGATTGACTTGTATTTCTAAGACCTGATATAATATATGTTCAACCATGTAATATCATTGATTATAAATACTATTAGTATTAGTACTAATAGTTATATCAATTTTTAATTAATGCCAGGTAGAAATTTAATAAATACCTATTATAATAGTACTGTCATTTTTTTAAAGTAAATTTGATTTCTTAAGAGATCAAAAGCCTAAATTAAAAAAAAAAAAGAACAATTATACATGATGAACTATTGAAGTCTATATGTTAAACAATTCCGCAAGTATACAAACATTTTATATCTGTAATGGTTTGCAAGGCAATTACGAAAATATTGAATTAAACTATGAAATATTTAAGCTATTAAAAAATAATACTATACTAGCTGTATAACCTCAGGTGTCGCCCAGGAAAAAAATTAACAAACATAAACTACGGGGCTATATCAGTATAATATATTGGTTATAGTATACCTCAAGGCTCAGTGTGACTGTAATACCTTGCTTTGCGAACTAATTCAACTCAGACTCTGATGTGGAATCCATCCACGGTGGATTGGGGGTACTATTTAGTACTTGGTATATTTTCAAACATGGTTTAAACTACTCTCTCAACAATTTATACATTTCTGATATCTCTAAGAACAATGTCATGTTACTATCATGTAATATTTTAACTTTCGTTAAAATCGGTCAAGTAAATTTTTAAGTCTAAAAGCTACAAACATAAGAACATTGTATTTTGTTGGATATTTGAACAACAAACAATAAATTGAATAGTATTTTATTTTGTTATGGCAGCTGACTAAACTCTACTAGACTGATCATAAATCAATATTTAAGATTTTTGTTAGGTAGGTATTTCAGACTTCAGTATCTATAATAATAATAATAATGTTGTATAATTGGGAATTAGACACCATACATCTATTTCTGTTAATAAATTCAACACCTAAATAGTAGCCTTAATAAATATAAAATTATTAAGTTTTTTAAATCAATAAAAACGACTGAGTATTTATTTATTTAACGCCAAACGGCAATTTATAGATACATTGTAATAATTAGTAGATTAACAAGAAGTGATAATAATGAAATAATATACATGGATAAGATAGTTATAATTATAGTCTTAAGTTTAAACTTATACTAAACAGTGTTCAGTTACAAAGAGTACATGCTAAGGTAAAATAAAACTAAAGACAAAAACATTCAGTAGAGATAAATAATAACATAGTCAGCTACAGATCAGGAGCTATTAAGTAGGCGGAGCATTCTATCTAATGGATTATTATGGGAGTAATTAGTACGGTGAGAGGAGACAAGGTATAGGGAATGACTTCTAGTGAAATGCACAGGAACGCGGAAAGAGATAGAGGACAGAAGGTTCGGGGCATCTATTGAGCCGTTAAGGAGAGAGGTGATGAATGAGAGGTCAGCATTTAAGGAAGTTCTAACTGATAGGTAATCATGGGGTGGGTGATCAATATTGAGTATAAAAGCGGCGTAGGAAAGGAAGCGGTTTTGGACACGGTCTAAACGTAATTGGTCCTTGGCTAGATATGGGTACCATACAACTGAGCCATATTCTAAGACAGAGTGGACAAGGGAAAAATAGAGGGAGCGAAAACAAGTATTCTTCAATTATAGAAATAATTCAATAAAATATAATTAGTATATGATATATTTTCTTATAATTTAATCCATAAAATATTTTTTATAATGATATATAATATTATTCATATTCATGCCTTTGACAATGTATGTTTTTTACGTGGTCTGTCCTTCATTCTTCCCTATAACATACAAATATACAACTATAGTTCAAATATTATATTAAATAATAAGTTAATTTTTTAAAAATAAAAAATGTTATGATACATTAGGGATTATATTATCATATTAGCTGAGAGAATCTTTATACTGTATAACAAGCAGTGGCGGATCTGTATAAGTATACATAACCAATAACCATACTCTAAAAATTGATAGGTCAATTATTTTTAGTCCATACTATTGTTCATTTTTAAATATTATGCTTATTGATTATGCTATTTAAGTATAACTCAATATGCAATGAGTAGTGTCTTAAGTTGTATTACAATACTAATTCTAAAAACATATACTAACCTTAGTTTGAAATCTCATACAACTGTGTTCTATTAAACAGCATTTGTTACATTCTTTGCAATGTTTCCATGTTCTTTTAACACATCTCTTACACAAATTACAATGTATGTATGCACGACCATTCTGTGAAATTAAAAATTTTATAAACAAGAGTTTAAAATAAGAATAAATATCAACACAACTTGGGACATTTTTCTGAGGTGGAGGAGGGCTAGAATTGTAGCAGCCACTTAGACTCTGATAATTTAAATTTTAAACTAAAATATGATTAAAAAACTGGTGGGGGAAATACTAGGGGGGGGGGCTTTGTATCTCAAGAACCCCATATGCCATTTAGTTTACACTCGTTTGATAAACAAATACGTAGGTATCTACTGATTTTTATTTCTGCGTATAATCTAGAATCTAGGGTTCAATTAGTTTTACCAAAGTTTTGTCACAAAGAGACGCATAAAATTTTACATGCCTATCTAAATAGAGGGAGGAGTCAAGGCTCCTCTTTATTTAATACTATAATAGTAGGGCTTCAGGCTTCAGCCTCCCCAAATCTCAAATACTATTTGTGCCTATGCTACCTACCAAAACATAATTTATTTTAAGAAATATTCTTGAATGTTATCCAAAAATGATTTTGGCACACGTGTCGTATATGCTATCTACCAACAAATTGTCAGTGTCGTATATCTACCGTAATCCGTATTGACGGTATTGATATTATATTTCTATATATTATATATATATTTATAATTCCTTTAGGAATTTCAAACTTTAAAGTTATTTTGTACTTTAGATTTTAGTATGTGTTTGTTGATCGCCGAAATTAAACGTCGTAGTTGTGTGTTTTTCATTAATTGTAAATGTATGGTTTTATAAAATGAGTACTTTGGGTGAATTATATATAAAAATTATTCTGAACGAAGTAACTTGTATACAATTTTTAAAAGATTGTGCTTTATTACCTAATACAAAACTGTGTACAAAGTTAAATTCTATTGGAGGAACAATGTAATGGTGAAAAGAAACTTTAAAAAAGCCGAAAACGTGATGTGAAAGGAGATATTATTGTAACAAAATTTTGAAGATGAAAAAAAGGGTTGTCAAACATTTATTCAAAGGGTTGTCATAACATCCATTTATTTGGTAGATAGCATACGACAGGTTGCGTAGATTTTTATAAATATGATTTTTTTGGTAGATGCATATGACACGTGTGCCATGATTTTTTCCAACAATTTTACACATAATAATATAAAAAAAATGTGAAATATGCTAAAAATTGCTCAAATATGCAATTGTCCTATAATATGACACAATATGCAAAAATATAAAAATTCAAACTTTGCATTTCATTTTTCCATTTCATAAAACAGATTTATAACTTACCTAGAATAAACTACAACCACTACAAAAAAAATATGAAAACGCAAGAAGTTCCAAACCTTACATTTGAGTTACAAAAGTTATGAATTAATAATTATATTAATCCTTTATGGGGGGTTGAGACTTGAGACTTATAAAAAATACATATTTTTTAATATTACCTAATTAAAACATATTTACCTTTGATGTACAACTATTGCACTTGTAGCAATGTACATTTTCTGAGCAAACCCATCGATTACATTCATCACAAAATCTATAATTTTCCTCTTCCGGTAAAGATATCTTGCATTGATCTACATTTGTAAATATTCGAATTGGAGATCCTTTATTCCTCCCTAAATATAAAATAAAATAAATGTGTTGTAGTATTTACAGTGAAGAAAAAAAACAGTTTAACATCAAAATTACAAACCAGAACTATTAAACTTCTTATGATTTATGTAGTCAATCTTATAATCTAGCATTGACATACCAGGTAAGCACTTGACCACAAATCGTTCCATAAAATAAGGCAATACCAGAAACTCTGAAGAATAAATTATTCATTTAATAATAATTTAAACACAATGAGAAAGATGAAATATGTTTACTCGATAATATGCTTTTGTTGTTTTTCTTCCTAATTTGATCAAATTTGTCTAGTGTATATGCTAATGGTTCAAGTCTACCACCAAATGGTGGGTCAATAAATACGGCTGTATTATCTCCTTTGGTCAAAATATCTTCCAATGCGAACTCATTGTCACATTCCTCAAGTATATGACAGTTATACATGTTAAACCATCTGAAATGGTCACTTTCATAAAATTGCAGCTGAAAGTATAAATATCAAATTTTTAGCATTAAGTCAGTAACAATAAATAAATATTATTTTACATACATATCTATGATCAATGTCAAGTAAAAAACTTTTCAATTCGGGTACGTCGCATAATATCTTTTCATGTATAGTAGGAGCACCGATACAAATAACATTAGTTGTACCAACAGAGCGAAACATTTTTATCAACATTTCAATTGTGTTTTCGGTAAAAAAATATTGAGATTCACTTTTAGATTCTTGAAGTGGTCTAAACAACTAAATTAATTTCCAGACATTTTATATCAAATTAATATAATTTATAGAATAATAAATAACTAAAATATGTTTATACTATAATATGATTACTACCTGTGAAGGGTGAGATAATTTTAAGTCATTTATATCTTCAACTAGCATTTCACAATGGTCTGAATGCAAATCCTGTTCAGTCTTAGAAAATAATTCACCACATTTCTGACAGAAACATCTTTCTTCTGGGTTTAAATTTTTTACGTGATCGTACCTGAAATAAATTTAAAACTGTTTTTGAATGTTATACATCATATACTCTGTTCAGCGAGAGTAACCTACGGTTTTGGGCAGCCCCCGCTATCAAACCGGTTCCCCAATGGCACTGTGTTGAGTGGTGGAACCAGTTCTGGCTGGTGCGCGACGCTTTCTGTTACTGAACACAGTATAGATATTTTATATTATAGACTAATAGGGCTTGGAAGTTATAGGAGTTGCATATTATTCTATATGCTCTTGATTTCTAGCAGACCAAGCAGGACATCCAAGCTATATAATGGTGAGTTTTTTTGAATAGCAATTCCCTTATTTTTTCTACCAGATAGGATAGATATTTTTTTCCTAAGTCATTTTGATCCATTTACCATGGTCCTAAACCTAGAATTGACTGAGTTACTGAGGCTTCTGATTTTTTAAATTTTCAAATAAATAATTCTTTATTTTTGATTTTTCCAAAAACATGGCACATTTGTATTGAGTTAATTTTTACATGGATTTGGAAATTTTGATTATGAAATAAAAAATTACTTTGTAACTTATTATTTTACTGTAAGTTTATTTTTTTAACTTATAAAATGTTCAAAATGCCTCATTTTATTTTCTAAAAACACTTGCCATTGACAAGTTACTTCTTTTTGCTTTGGTGTCAAATTTTGGAAACTCCGAATATTTTATAAGATACAAATTAAAAGTAATTAGATAAGTTAATGATTATTACCTGGATTGTAATTTATATCTCATCATTTTTGTAACAATGAGTTCCCTTTCAAACTGTCCCATGAATTGTTGTCCAATTGATTCAATTTGATTTTCCCAAACAAAAAAAGAACATTTTTTTTTATCTCTATGTGCAGAGCAAGAGTAAAACTTTTTACTGTCGGATCCTCGAGAAAACAACAGCGTGGGTCCTTAAAACAATAAAAAAATATTTAATAGGATAAATCAATCAATGATAAGCTAATCTGACAACAAAAAATTACTATCTCTAACCTAAGAATTTTAAATGTAGTTAATAAATTGGTAATTATTCAATAAAAAGAATAGGTATTGGTATTATAGTTAATCCTCATAAGTCATAAATATTTAGTATTTTATTATGGATAAAATATTTAAATTATAAATTATAAACAAAATTATAAAAATGCTTTACCAAGATTACTTTTATTTCTACCATTCCAAGTCATATACCTAATATTCTATTTGTGTCAGTGGCGCTGAAGTCCATGCTAACGTTGAGCCGGCCACATTTTATTTACATCATAACTTTATTATGAGCATGAGTATATTTAAATCATGATTATGAATAATTGTATATTATTGTTATTAGGATATATTAAATAATTAAGATATTGAGGCCGGGAAGTTTTGAAATTACCCAACTAAATTTTAAAAACTTCAGTGCCACTGATTTTTGTCAAGTACGGACACATACCAATACCGTTGTAGAAATTGTTGTCTGGCCACTGCAATTATACACGACGACTAGAGAAGAATCGTTTGCACCACAATATTAACAAATGAACAAACAACAATAATTACCGTGAGAGCAATGAGGATGCGCGTTCAAATTGTCCATGTGGACGGAAACACTTTTGATGTACTCCTCCGTCATTTTTGGGTTGGCAACAGCTCGATTAATGCCAGACTTTATGGTAGATCAAATGGTATTTATTCCAATGTGGGAATTAGAAGTTAGAACACAAACACAATTAAATAATTTATAGTATGACGTATTGTACAAGCGACAATGAATAGGTACGTCTTGAGAGTAGACGTCTGACGACTAGATTGGTTGACTGACGAATGACCAATGGCAATAGTACTATCCACTGGGCTCAGCAGCACCGATTACTTAGGTACTTACTATTTTACTAAAGCACTAATAATTTACCAGGCAGCAGATTCCAGAGACGAGACACTAGAGTACTAGTAGTACTACAACTCTATAACTAAGTAGACAGAAACCACGACACCTAATAGCTGGACGAATGCACACAATACTACTGTACTAGAGTAGTAGAGTCCATAGAAAAGAAATTAACTGTGTCTTGGCTCTAGAGTCTAGACTGTTGAACGTAATGAAGAAAGCACGGCCACGTGCGTGGTGTGCGGAGTGCGGACTGTGAAGACTACAAAGTAGATTTTTAAATGTTTATTATCATTTGTGATTTCGGTGGCTTGTTATCAACATTGAAGTCTATTTATTTGATTATGAATGCTCAAGTGATAACGTAGAACAATAACGAATGATAAGGACATGCCATGTAAATGGAGGGAAATCCGAAATCCTCGTCATATCATGAAATCGAACATCCTCGTAAATAACTTACGAAATAAATAACGGTATTTGAATTTGAAGCGTATTAATAATTAGTATTGTTAGTATTTAGTTGAGTACCGGACTACTTAATTTACTACCTTTTTTTTCTATCGTATATTAATCCGTGGTATTAGATTCGCGTTCTACTGACCTTCCTGATTCCTGAATTATTCCCTAAATAAGATACTGTGACATTAGAAACTTATCCTGCTGCCTGCATAGATCGACCATCTGCCTGTCTGACACCCATCGGTTATGACTGAATTTGCGGTACACCATTTCCTCAGGTGCCATTCAATGTCCGACAATGATTCGGCTGACGTTTCCACACAGGTAACAACTAACAACGGGTAATAAGTAATTGGACTTGTTATGCAGTACAGTTCAACCATCCACAGAGCACAATAATGTTGTCAAACACAGCGTATTAATGTATCATTCATTGTCGGTTATAGGTGTGGTATGCGGCGTTCGAGCCGTCCAAAACGTCCCACTTAGTGGCCACATGTGGTGGCAACAAGGTCTGTGTTATCGATGTGGAGACTGGAATTGTTCAGTATAGATATACTTATCCCAAGTAAATAATTGAATTCTATAACAGTTTTTCCTTCTCTGTATCTCATAGTAGTACAACACACTATATGAAAAATAGTTATATTATGCATAGGCGTGCGCACGGGGGCAGCAGAGGCAGCATATGCTGCCCCTGGACTTACTTTGGGGCCACCGGGGCCGGCAAATATTAAATAATGGGCCTCGGTAAAATTATATTTCCACAAAGGATTTTTTTTGTTTTGATAAACTATAGATAAATATTTTATATATTTAAATTAATATCGACAGATTAATGGGCCTCATTATATATATTATGCTATATATGTTATATATATGCTTGTAGAAAAGCACACCTTTAGTGTTTTAGTACCTTACTGTACAACCTTTTATCCAAAAAAACAAATAACCAATACAATTTTAATTTTTATATCCAATAGTAAAAAAAGTAAAACTATGGGCTGGTTTTAATGGTGAATTTGAAAAATGGGCCGAATTAATCTCTTGCTGCCCCTGAAACCGGAGGCTGCGCACGCCTATGATATTATGCTTGTTAAATACTAAATTGATATCTAGAATCTAGATCATTATTCATTAAATTATACACATTACATAGTATATTATAAGTATATAGCCATATAGGTACCTAACAGAAAATATATTATTCTGTTATTAGGTACTTAACAATCAGAATATTATGTCTGTAAAGAATCTAAGGAAAAAAGCCACGGAAACAAAACTACATTTTTGAAATATTTCATATTATCTTCAACAGTATTTAAATTGTTGATTAATAGAGTTAGAGAATGTGATGTCGTCATTTTAATCCTTCCAAATTCCAGCAGTTAGGTGGAAAATACTTTAGGCGATGGTCTTTTGGTATCTACCAAAAAAAAAACTTCTGATGTGGCTTCAAGCCAAATCCGTGCACATGCCTATGATATACAATCAAAGTGTAAGACTTAAATTCAACTGGTTTTAAGATATTTTGTTTGCTTATAATTCATTTTTATTCAACCTATGATATTTGTCAGCATTTTTCTGAGGAAATATATTTATCGCCACTCCAATATTTCTATGTTATAGATTTGGAGTATGTTTTTCATTGAACATTTTTTACTACAATAAAAATAATTGTTGATTGTGTTATGAAGAATGGGTATCTAATTAAAAAAATTGTCACAGATTTTACTGTGGCTTTTTTCCTATTTTACCGTCATATAAGTTTTAAATTTTGATCTTATTCTAGAATATATTATTATGGTGGGAGTTAATTCTAATTCTTTTATTTTCATAGAGGACTGTTGTATACATTATCTTGGAGTACAGCATGCCCCCGCAATAATATATTGGCCACTGGCGGAACTAACAATACAATTGTGCTCATAGACTTGTCAACCGAATCAGTATACTGTCACTACAGTTTGTTCCAAGGGAAAAATAAATATAAAAAGATATTTATTAGTTCCATTTTATTTCATCCTTCCCAAAATATATTGTTTTGTGAGTATATTTTCCTCTATGCCAATTTTTGTTGTATTATTTTTATTCGTCGACTAATGTGATGGTCTGTTTTTAGGTGCATTAAACAATGGATACTTATACATCCTCCAATTTGAAACTGATGATAGTCGTATCGTAAATCTTGAAAACCGATACAACATTGATCTCAAGTGCGAAATTTTTGGATTAGCGTTTTGTGAAATAAATGATTATTTACTCATTGCCACTAATGTTGGTTTAAAAGGATGGGATAACTCTCAGAGGTAACACAATTTATTTTATTATTTAAAATTTAAATTGGTTATTAATGTAGTACCTAGCATTATAAGGTAATTAAATTGCACGAGGCATCGCAAATGGTGCTGTTTTTTGCTGTGGTACCCCTGGGTAACCAAATCCCCATTAAAGACAAAAGGACAAGACAACTTTTGAGATTTATCTTTTTTTTTATATTTTTAAGCCAGAATAATAAGTTAATACATCTATCATTATCTAAGTTAAGCTCTTAGATTGACTGTAATTTACCCTTTATTCTCTTTGCCAGTGTTGAAGTTAAGCCGTGTAGACTATTGGTCATAAGAAATGGAATCCAACGACCAACAGTGATCAACCAGTATATAATAAGTAAATTAAATAATTCAAATACTTATTAATATTACTGTCTACATCAGTATTTACCTACCTTATGGTCCATGGCATATTTATTACTTTAGGTCTTGTATAATGAGTTGGGTAACCCGTACAAATATATGCAACCATAGATTAAAACCATACACAAATTGCATATTTAATCCACAGTAAAACTATAAAAAGTTGAGCTTAGCTAAATGTCTATTAACTCGGATTTAAATGCCCTTAAAAATATTGAAAAATGCATGAAACTTGAAAATTCTAAAAAAATTCCTCGGATTTATTTATTCAGTCAAAACAATATATTACAATTAAATAGTAATAAATAATAATAGCTGATATAAATACCAACTGAGCTAGAAGCGGAGTTTATGCTTATTACCATAAATTTGTTTTACAGTAAAAACGGTATAAATAAAAATATGATTTAATTATTTAAACATATGAAATTTTCACTGGTCGTTTATATTTGCATTTTCTATATACGTTAAAGTTATCAAAATATTTTGATTTATTTTGAACTGCTTAGGGACATTTTCAGTTTCCAATTTTATTAGTCTTTTTTTCTATGAATGTCAAGAAAACTTTATTTGCTGAGTAAAAATACTTGATAATTAAATACAAGGATCCTACTATTTTGTTACACTGACATTTGAAAAATATTAAAAATCTTTAGTCACAGTTTTTTGTTATAAGCATTTAAAGCTCAAATATTGACAAAATACGTAAAAATGACGAAAATTTGCAAATTTCTTTGAGTTAGAAATTCATAAAATTTTTTTCTTTTTAAATATAAGATATAAAAATGTAATACAAGATTCCTCATAATTTTGACTACCTTTATCAAAAAAAAAAATGTCTACAAGAAACTCTAATTAAATTTTTATGAGCGTTTGAAATTCATATTTTAGATTCTGAGCGGAGCGATGAATGTATTGGTTTTACAATGATGTATGTTTTATATTTTTATATTTTTATTTATATTTTTATATTTTTGTGTCTGTCATCACGTTTTAGGACAGTAAAAGTGCTTCGATTTTCTTCAATAGTACCTTTTCTGATAGGAAAGTGAATCTAGTTGGTACTTTGGGGGGTCAAAAGTAAACATTTTCCAGTAGTTTTCACAAGCGCCGGGAAAAACAACATAAAAATTAAGGAAAAACGGGAATTTTTACGCAAAATCTATTTTCCAAAAAATCGAATTTGGTTATTGGTGTAACTTTAAAACAAATGACCGTAGATACATGAAATTTTCACTGGTTGTTTATATTTGCATTTTCTATACACGATAACATTTTCAAAATATTTTGATTTATTTTGAACTGTTTAGGGACATTTTCATTTTTCATTTTTTTTTAGTTTTTTTCTAGAAATATCAATAAAATTTTATTTGTTGGTTGCGAAAGCTTGAAAATTTAATAGAAGGCTCCTAATATGTTGTTTCAAAGGCAGATGAAAAATATTAAAAATCCTTAGTCACAATTTTTTTTTATAAGCATTTAAAGTTCAAAAATTGACAAAATATGGAAAAATCACGAAAATTAGCAAATTATTTTGAGTTAAGAATTCGTAAAAATTTTTCTTTTTAAATCTAAGATTTGAAAATGAAACACAAGATTCCTTATAAGATTATCTACCTTTATCAATAAAAAAATCTCTACCGGACAGTCAAATTAAATTTTTATGAGCGTTTGAAATTCAAATTTTTACAACATTGGATTTTCACTCGATTTCTCATGTAGCGATTTCCTTATTTTGTTGTAATTCAAAAACGAATAACTGTAGATACATGAAAATTTCACTGAATGTTTATATTAGCATTTCCTATACACCATACAATTTTGAAAATATTTTGACTCTTTTTGAGCTGTTTATGGACATTTACAGCTTTCAATTTTTTTTAGTTTTTTTTTCTATAAATATCAATAAAGTTTTATCTGTTGGGCCAAAAAGTGTAAAAATTTAATACAAGGCTCCTGATATATTGTTACAATATCAGTTGAAAAATATTAAAAATACATAGGCACGATTTTTTTTTATAAGCATTTAAAGTTGGAATTTTGACAAAATTTATCAAAATCTCGAAAATTATCAATCGTTGGAATTAAAAAATTATAAAATGTTCAGTTTTTATAACTAAGAGTTGAAAATTTAAAACAAAGATTCTCTTAAATAATTCATACTGTAACCAAAAAATCTAAAAAATATATAAACACACTTATTTTTTACAGACATTTTAATTTCAAATTTAGACAAAATTTCATATTTAAACCAAGAATTACGATTTTAGTTATTTTGTTGTGATTGAATAATACTATTCGTGGGTACTTGAAACTTCTAAAGTGTACTATTATATATCTATGATAGTATCACGGTTTTTGTTGATGTATAACGCGTTATAAGTATCTAATGGATATTGTGATATGATTAATTTGGAATTTATTATAGGTACCTATTATAGGTAAATTTTTTGTTTAATACCATAGATATGTATATAATATGCCTTATACATAGACTGACATACCATCACCGCTCAGAATCGTTTTTCTTATACAATGATATTATATCATTGAATTCAAATTTAATACCATCCATTATACAGTGACCCACTTGTAACCTACTGTACAGCAGAGCGACACCCACTTGCCCACCTTTTTTACATTTGATATTCACGGACATTGTCAGTTTTCAATTGTTATAGTTTTTTTTTCTATTAATATCAATAAAATTGTTATTGCTGGGTAAAAAAGCGTGAAAATTTAATACAAGGCTCCCGATGTATTGTTATAAAGTTATTATATAAAGTTGAAGTAGAAGGTATTAAGTATTTAGTAATATCATAGGCTGACTGACAGTTTTCCCTCAGAATAGTTTTTCTTATACAATGATATTATATCATTGAATTCAAATTTAATACCGTCTATTACAGTGACCCACTTGTAACCTACTGTACCTACAGCAGAGCAACATCCACTACCCACTTTCCTTATTTATGAAAATTTTGTTAAGAACACAGATCATGATGATGCATTGTTTTAATTATTGCCAAAATGTATGACAACATACAAATGTAATCTATAAAAAAATTACAAAAATTAATAGTTATCATTGATTGACTAAATGAGTAAATGTCGCCAAATGGCCATATCATAGTCATGCAATGCAAAAAGTCCAAGAAAGTATAGGTACTCAAACAACTTCTTACCAAAAAAAAAAAAAAAAATTTATTTTTATAATATGTACACCCTCGCCTGGCCGCCCACCTAAATGTGTCAAAAATTGGCCGCCCGGGGCAAACGTCCCTGTTGGCCCCCCCCTTAAATACGGTCCTGCTAATATACAATATATTTGTATGGTTGAATAATTCCTCTGATGGGTATATTTATGGTAGAGAGTATGCTACTTTTACAATATTTTTTTTGTGTAATTTGCAATGTATTAAGGTATGTTCTGTTAGTGCCTCCCGAACATGTTATGCTGTATAATAGAAATTGAGTTTCACAGTGCCATATAATTTAGTTTTATAATTGATTTATCAAGAAATCAAATTTGATACTGGGTTTCTTCAGAAATCAAGATAAATATGTGAATCGCTTTTTTAATAACCACATTACCTTATGTTGTAGTACAATATGTGTATTGATTAATTATATTTTATTTTCTGAAGAGGACATTACACGCACATGTGTTGTATCCATTTTACAAATGTACCCACAACATAGCAACAACTTTTTGAAGTTCTGATTTCAAAAAAATGAAAACAATATTGCACAGCCAGTTTTTTTCATGTGGTGAAAATTTTGTTTCTTAGTTAAGATTGTAGCCTTCTTCGTTCTTTCCCGTGCCAAAATAATTTTTTCTATGTTGTGCATTTGACGGGGACAATACATATCCTCTTCAGAAAAATAATATAATTAATAAATACACATTGTACTATACTCTGTTCCATGAGAGAGCAATTAGTCCGCCGACCGATTCTCGTCAAGGCCACGCATCCCCCACCAACTTCCCCGTATTAAAGTGATCACGTGGTTCTCGACGCACCAATTGAATCATTCGTGATGTGCATAAAGTGATTGCTCTCTCGTGGAACAGAGTATACAACATTAGGTAATGTAGTTTTTAAATAAAGCGATTCACACATTTATCTTGATTTCTGAAGAAACCTAGGATCAAATTTGATTTACTTCAAAAATATAAAAAAGTTTGTTGTTAACATAGTATGAACTTGAAACGCATTAATAATCTTTGAAAGCATTGTGTCAAGCATTCCAGAAAAAATATTCAAATGTGTGATACTAATAACCAATTAATATCATTAAAATAACCTATAATACTGTATCATTTAAAAAAATAGTTACACCATTAATCATTATTAGTTTATTGATTGTAGTTCATGAATTTTCATAATTTTTTATAAGTATAGATTCACATCACAAAAAAACTATGCCTTTCTAAACTATTACGATTTATCTGTAGCCAGGATCAAGAACTATTAGATTTTGAACTTCCCAAAAATCCTAATGAAATGTACAAGGATCAAAATGAAAACGTGATTGATTCAATAGAGATTGTTAAAGACAGCTGGATTGCCACTAAAGTGGCACTGCATGGAGTTATATACATTTTCAATCTAGATGCAGCTCTGTCAAAAACTAAGAACAACAAGTGTTTAGTAAAACCAACTTATATACTTCAATGGAGTGATACAGACAACTATTTTATGAGCTGTAGTGTTGGACTTGGTTTGTATTTAGTATTATTAAAATTAAAACACTATTTCCCTATAATAATGAATATTCTATTCACACATATTTCAGATGGCAAGCTATTAGCGTGTGGGGATGATAGAGGTAGCATATGGATTTACAACCTGAAGGACTTAGCCTTCAAATCTTCAAAAAGTGATTCTAAGGTAATTTCTGTCAAATCAGTCTTGAAATGGCCCAAACTTGAAGACAAGTTTTTGAAAAAGAAAAAGAAATTGGAAGTAGATGTTTATGATATAGTAATGGCTAAATGTGCTGTGCACTCTAGTGGCAAATATCTTGTAGCCGTAACCAATAACAATTTAGTATGTTTGTATAAGAAATCAACAGTAAAAAAATAAAAATGATTTAGTACTAATATTAAAAATGTTATATTGTTTCAATGTATTAGGATTACAAATTGTATGTAAATGATGTAAATTAAATAATAATTATTACAGAAAAAACTTATAAGTTATCCCTTTTCTTTTTACCAATTAACTTATAAATTACGTCAGGTTTACGGATCACGTAAGGGTCCATGTGTACATAGCTTAACAAAAAGAGATTAATTTAATTAGGTATCACAATATTTTGATAAAAAATCAATCCACAACAGAATACATAATCAGGAATTTTAATTAGTGCCCGTAGATCCAAAACCACCTTCACCTCGATCAGTCTCATCCAATGTCTGAAATAAAAAAACAAAGATAATTAAATAATTTATAGTGTTATTAAAAGTTATACAACATACCTTAAACTCTACTACTTCTGGATAAACTATCCTCTCGCAGATAAGTTGTGCAACTCTATCACCCTTATTTACTATAAAGTCATCATCAGAATGATTGTATAGTATAACACCAACGTTTCCTCTATAATCACTGTCAATCACACCAGCTAAAACAACAGTTATAAGTGTAAAAAAAAGTGTAATAAATAAAATAATAGTTATTTGCAGTTGTAATACACACCACCAACATCGATGAAATTTTTCCAAGCAAGACCAGAACGTGGAGCGACGCGGCCATAGGTACCTTGGGGCACTTTAATCTGGATATCGGTTTTGATCAGCTCTTTTCCGTGGGCTTTCACAACATATGGATAGGCACTGCGGATACACAAGTATACAGTTGTAGTTACGATAATAGGTATAGAGAACTATCAATTATCATTGGTGCTTAAGTCTAATAAATCCACAATAATGTATAATACCCAACCACACTACACTACCATTGATTCATTCGTTATTGACCCAATAGTTTCTTTTTTTTACGAAAATGTCACATTATCAACATTGTAGAAGAATGGTACTATGTAGTAACATATATATAAGTATGGCTCATACCTAACCTAACCTATTAAAGTGCCATCAAAATAGCATGAACCCGAACATGGGCTGATGAGTCGATGATTTTTAGAGGGGCGTTATGGATAGGTATCTAAAATATTATAACAGGTACTTAACAGCTTGCGAAAGGATGACAAATATGTAGTACCTAATAAGAAATATAAAATAAATTGTTTAGAATTGAATGGTACTATGGAATAAATAATAATCCACACATTATAATGGCTCTGTTTAATAGTTTATTATGTGATGGGCGACGAGCTTACCTCCTCAGGTCGTAACCGGCCGCGTGTTCGCTACCCTTGGTGGGCTGGAAACCGTGTTCGGAGAGTTTGGAGAAGGCCAAAACGTCGTCTTCGGAGCATTTGCGTACTTTCTTCAACGGGCTGGGCATGATGGTGTATTGGCACGGATAAATGTTAAGAGTTAAACGAATTCGAGTACGACACCGGACGAAGGAAGACAGGAACGTGAGCAACGGGCAAATGGCGAATGGCAAATGTGAAATGAATAAAAAAAATAAAAACTAATATGGCGAATGACGAACGGCGATTGGCGAATGGCGACCGTCGTTGTGTCGGGCAAAGGCAAACGCGGGAAACGTGTTTTTTTCTTTATCGCGTTATGAATGTTTTGCCTCCAATTTGGAAAACGCGGGAAAGGCCAGCGTTCACAATCACACAGTGTGACCTCGGCTGATGGCCAAACTAATCCCGCCAACTCGTTCAAACCAAAGATGTGCCAGCAATAAAATTATATCGTTACGCCCGCGAAATCTGTTTTGAAAATACGAGCTAGTAAAAATACGAATATGATGAATGATGATTATCGTTTATAATTATATTATCACACGATCGTCACGTCAGGAGAGCGGTAAGGTAATGACAAAGATCAACCGAACAATAAGGCCTTGAAAGGTCACGGCACACTAATTTAGTTCTAATCTGAAACCTCATTTGGTTGTATAGTCTTGTAGATGGATTTACATTGTTCTTTTTAATTTTTGTCAATATTCACATCATGTCCTGAGGATGAAACATCTTAGTGGTAACCACAGACGTGGTTTCAGTTGATTATTTGTCGTTATTTTTTCCTACCCGGTAATGTAAGCCTGCTTCTATTGAGTTGTTCATTGATCCGACTTTCCGTGTACGGTCTTCCGGTATTGGTTTTGTAGTTGTTTGCTTGTTGTTTTGCATGAACCTGCAGGTGGCTTTCAAAGCTATTTTTAGAAATTTGTTTTGTATAATTTGCAACTTACATTCACATTTTAAACTTCAGTGTTTCTCACTTTGTTGTAAATTTATGTCGTTATACATTATAATTTATCAAACACGATTATACTATTTTAGTTCATAGTTTATAATTTAGTTAGAATAACGATATTATCCATGTCATTTTAGTATAACAAGGTGAATTTATAAATTCACCTTGCCTAGTACAAGGTTTTTCGTAAGAGCATTAATACCAACGCGACAACGCGTTTTACGTTTAATGAGTAATTACATAATACATACAATTATTGTGTTCGTAATTTTTTAATAATATTCTATACCTGAATAGGAGAGTATATTGAAACTTTTGAAATGTGTAATTTTGTACCTCGTATGAGATAATGTTTTTTTTTTAACTTTGTATATAATATTGTGATTCATTTTGAATAAGAATACAATAATAGGCAGTGGAATAATTTTGTTTTTATTTTATCGAAAATTATCCTCTAAAATTTAAAATAACAGCCTTGACTAAAAATGTATCCGCTATCTTCATTATAAATCTACAATACCTAATTCCTAACATATCATATATTCTATATCCATAGTTAAATTGTAAATATGATATCTAGTCATCTCCCTGATGACAGGACACTCAATTTGCCTGCGTGACTATAGATTGCCTATACGTATGCCGTTTACACAAAATATAATAATAATATTATATTGATATTGTATTCTAAAAAGTAAATTATTTTTTAAAATAGAAGTATTAGAACAATAGTACCTAGACGCTATTCAAGTATAATATTAACATAGACATTTTCAAAAAATATTGAAATATTGTTATTGTTACTAAAGGCGTGTGCATAGTTATCAATTTTAATTACTATAATTAATCAATAACAAAATATAACAAAATATTCAAACGTAAAATATCATATTTGTTGAATAAAAGTCATACGCAGGTTTTTTATGCTTCACATGCCTTTTAAGTGTTTCGCAACTTCTACCAGTTTATTCCAACGATTTCTGTCCTCTGAACCCTCAGTTCTTACTGATTCTTCGATCCTTATTAAATCATTCTTCACATGGTTCATCCATCTCTGTTTCGGTCTTCTCGAGGTATCTTTCCAACTAGTCTGTTGGTTAATACTTTGATCGCCATGCATGTATAGCCCATTTAATTATTTTAGATATAAGGAAATTTTGGATGTTTGGTCTTTTGAATAGTTTTATAATGTCTGAGTTTTTCCTCCGTTCATATTCTCCGTTGTATCTGGGTTTCTTGAATCCTGTAGGTCCGTATTTTCTTCTCTGAATCTTTCTCCAGCATGTTTTATTCGTCACCCCTTGTCGTCGACTGCGGTGGGGTGGAGGTACGTAGTATAGAGTTTTACTTTGGATTCTTTTCATAGCAAATATCAACTAATATGGACTTGAACATTCATGGCAAAATAGCGTCGATTTGCAGCTGATATCCTGATAGGTTTACATTATTGTGTATATTATCGTTAGTGTTTATATTTACACTCAAGTATTTAAAGCTATGCACTTGTTCAAAGGTAAAATTACCTATATCAATATTATTTTTGCTAATTATCCCCCTGGACATGACCAAATATTTTGTTTTGTCTTCGTTAATCTTCAGTCCTATTTTTCGGCGTCCTTCTACTAACTTAAGCGTACTTGAGATTATTTGATCTTGAGATATTTATTATTGTTATTATCATATTATCTATATATTATCTATCTTTTCACTCTTTTGTAAAAGCCGTTTGGGGTATAAAAAATAAAATAAAACCGTATGAATTTTTCGAGCACACTCGAGGTATATCATAAAAAAGAGCAAAACAGATTCATGACAAAAATATACAAACTCTATACATTTCAACACTTCCTCAACGAAAGTTTGGAATAAAATCAAAGCTATTAATGGCATTTTATACCATTGCTTACTCTCGGTTTTCCAACACAATAATACTCCACTCTCAATTCCATCGGATATAACTGAAGCTTAAATTCAAATTACATTTCAAAATTCTCTTCGATTACTAGGAATGATATTCGATGATAAATTAAGCTGGATCATTCATCCGAAATAACTAAAAAATACACGTAAGGCCAAAATGAATATTATTAAAACTTTCTCACACTACATATTGTCATGGGGACCCAAAAATGAAATCATTCAAATTACCCGAACTGGACTGATCGAACATTTATAAAAAAAAATTGAATTTAAGTGGATACCTCTCCATGTAGGAATAAAAGGAAACACGATGGCCGATGGAGCAGCCTTTCTAGCAAGTAAAAATATAACACACAACACAATCGAAAAAGTATCTTCCAATGATATTATATTAACATCAATTAAAAATAAAACTATCTTGTCGTGACAACACTACTGCGAATAACGAAATTAAATCCATCAAAAGTTCCGTGAAACAATTGGTATACACCTCCGTACCTCAGCCATTGTCAAGATATTGCTATCAGCAGAACAAGAACCGGACACACTTTTACTACTCAATTCCTTCTTAATAAGCAAAAGACCAAGAATATTTTAAATACATGTCAAACACGCATTACAATAAAACATATATTCGATGAATTCCCTGTATACGAACCAACAAGCACAATTCTTAGTGTCCTGTTCAACACCAAAGAAATGAACATCGAAGAACAAACCTCAAATATTATCAAGTTCATCTCAAAAAGGTAATCTAACAGACAAACATTAGCTTAATTAACATAATAATATAATGTAAATACAAACCAATTTTTACTGTAGATATTAACATCATTGTATATAATGTATAAAAAATGTAAAAAAAATGTTGGCTAATAACCTATTATTATTGTTGAAGCCGGTAATATCTTAAATAAAAAAAATAGTAAATAAATAAATATTATAATAACTAATAACTAGAAAATCTTATAAGGACAGGCCAAATGATTAATATGAAAAAAATATATAATTAAAAATAAGTTTTTAATGTTAAAATCATCTCAAGACGTTATTCAGTCAGTATTTTGGGCTAGGACATGATTTTTTCGGCCACCGGCCACAACCGCTGTTTCGTCTACGATAGTGTACCTCCCTAGTTTCCTTTTTCGGCCTGCTGTAAATAAAAATAAATGAAAGTAGCTCAATTTGTCTTTTGCTTAAACTCATAATACATAATATCATATTATAGGATATTATTATAATATGCAGATTAATTAAACGAGTTTTAGAGCATGCGCCTAGTAGATAACACAATGTAGTATCGCGAATATATTATACAGATGAGACGGGACGTGTTGCAACAGTAACTACGTTTATCGCAGGGCCATTCACAGCTGATCACGAACGTACGTGTGCGTGTACAATAATAAGACGGCGAATAAAAAGCATTATTATTATTATTGTTATTATACTCCGAGCTACAGGGTCGTGGCGTATGAATGTATAATACATAGTACCTATGTATATATTTTATTATATAGCATTATATTTTAGGACGTGAATCAAATGATATCGGCGCCTGCGAGGCCGCGATCATTGTCGTCGGAGACGCAGAGATGTACGAGCCTTATAATATATAAATATATAATATAATAATAACAATAAATACGTATATTATTATGTTATGTATTATTTATTGTCGCGCGAGTGTGTGTGCGTTTTTGTGTGTTTGCCGACGTGAAAAATATTTATATAGAAGGTATATAGGTATTTATTAATAATATGTATGTATATGCTGGTACACCACATTCACATACTATATTATTATATACGTTAAATACATATAATATAATATTTTACGGAGATAGAAACCGACTACAACAACGGTACCGCTATAGGTTTATATATAATATAAAGTACATAGTATAATGTGCGTACGCACATAGGTATACCTATATGCTATATAATAAATGTATAGTATACACATATATATATATATTATATGAAATAAATCCATTCATCGTATAAGTACCTACTTGATATTATATACAGGGTGATTCACTAAGCATGCTCACTCCCTGTTTTTTCTTTTATTAATGTATTCAATAAATTTCTGATTTTTGGAAATTTTGATATAGGTGTCTATACTTGAAGATCATATTTGAAATATACTGTCTTGTAGTGATACAATAACTTCTGTTTTCCAAATTTTCTAATTTACAGTAAATT